AGTGGACCTTGTTGGAGCATACGTAATCCTAAAATGTAGCATCGTACTACAGATGGCGTTTACCGCGCCATTTGTGGTATTTTCTAAAACGCGCTGTTAAGACAGCAGGTAAAAGTTGGTCTGTGTTCTGTCGGAGCTGTCTGCGAGGCGGTGATGAGATCCAAAAAGATCGAAATTGCGATCCGCGACTGGCAGTTTCGACGGAATACAGACCACTTCGAATTATTTTATTCGGATATTTATATTCTTCAATGTTTCAGATGTGTATGATGATATCGAAATCAAACAAACGAATTTATAAACCAAACAAAGGAAACCTAGTGCTTTATTTCAAAAATTTGCAATTACTGAAGAACGATCGGTGGGGTACCAATATTCTAATAACATTTTTACAACAGGTAACAGAATAAATCGCAAACGAAATGAGCAAATATTTTTTCATTGCATCCCAAAAAACACTAGGCTTTGTAGATATCGTTCGATAAGGGTTGAAAGAGAGACGTTTCCGACAGATTCGAAGAAACTTTCTCTGCCATCGACAGTTTCTTTTCTAGATCGTTTATTTTTACTTGACTTTGTAAAATTTTTGTTTTCAGTTTCGCAACTTCGCCGATATGAACCTTTTCTCTTTTCGTAAGTTGCTCCACAAATTCGTTGATTTTTTTCTGAGTATCTTCAACGTAGGTCTTATTCTTCTCCTCCAAATTGTTCAAGTTGCTTTCGTATTTTGTGGCTTGCGAGAGTAGAACATCTTGGTTCTTCTGGAATCCAAAGATAATTGTTTTCGCTCTCTCGTATTTCTCCAGCAAATCGTTGAAAGCAAACTCGAGACAAGCCAAATGCTTGCACACCAAATTCTTTTCCTCCTCCAGTTTCAAACATCTGGAAAGCAAGTTTCCCAACATCTTTTCGTAGTCGTTCAATAAATTGTTTATGCCTCCGATGTCGCTCAGTTGCGACAATCTGTCTTCCAACTCTTTGTTTTTGAGTTCTAGCTTTGTGTTGTCGCCTTTTAATTTATCAATTTCTTCTCTGAGTTTTTGTACTTGATTGAGGTTTTCTGTTGCACCAGCTGCGCTAACTTCTAACAGAAAATTATCCTTTTCCTTTAGTTCTTTCTGTAAGGTGGTTATGAGCAAGTCTTTATCCCTCATCAACATCCTAAATCTGCTGGAATCACTTGCAATGATGTCGCGAGACGATATTGATCCTAAATCTTTCAATGGAGATACTTCCTTCACGTGATGAATCAACTGAAAATGATTTACTAATATACAACATTCGACAGTTTATATCTATTACAACATATACCTTCATAAAATCCATAATAATAATTGATCTTTTAGTTGATATGTTATAAAGGATTTTATGATTCAAATTTGGAATGGATTGAGTTGGAGAATTTCGTGATCGCTGGCTCTTTAACACCGACGAAGGACTTGACAACGAGATTTACGTCACTCTTCAACATCTACTGCATTGAGTAAGTAGTAATCAACTGGATACATTTCACTTGATATTTTGTTTGACATTGACAAACTTGTCATAAGAATCCTTCTACTAGCAACAGCCTCCTTGGTGTATCATAATTTCAAGCATATCTGCTCTCCTCTTCAATCTCCAAAATCAAATCTTCCTCCCATATATCACTTTATAATCCTTGAATCATTAATAACTTTGTCTATTTTATGTGAATGATTATAAAATGTATTATCCATTCTATAGTCCACCTTCTAAAGACGATCTTCAGTTGATATTCTTGAGTTATATGAATTTTGGAATAGAAACTTTATTCCAAAAAGGTCAACGATTTTCCAAGATCAACATTTCAAAACTGGTTTTTGCAATGTTGAATATCTACTACAAGGTACTTTTACATAAAACTGTAGTCTTTTGTTTTTGGATTTTATTCTTTTTCTTTGACTGTAGATGCAGGAACTTTTCGCTGCTTCCGAATATCAGTATTACAGTTTCAGTCCTCACGATTTAACCAAATGGTTCAGCAACATTTGGAGTTACAAATATAATGACGACGAAAATGTCGAAAATGGGCTTTTAGAAGTAAAATAGTCAATAATGCAGTCCATATTATTATCCTCGCACTATTTTTTTTTATTGTAGACTGTGGTTTATGAGGCTCAAACAATTTTTAGAGAAAAACTTTTAAGCAATGAAGAAAAACAAACGTTTGACGCTATTTTAGGGGAAACTTTTGAACATCTTGGCGCGAACCGAGAGTTTTTGAGAAATGTTAACAGCAGATTTTATGTTCCTTTTAAACAGGTGTTGGTAAATCAAAAGAGAAATCGTCTTGCTCGAGTTACCAAAGAAGAATGGACAGAGTCAGTAAAAAAGGCAATTAGACAGTACGGTAATTAATAACATTTTGGTCATTTAAAATACATTTGGACATTGATTTCCTTTTTCGTTTAATACTGTAGAAAACGACGAAAAGATCCTGAATGTTTCAATAACACCAGAACTTCTTTTTGTATCGTCAATTGTTGCTAAATCTCTTTCTGAGCCTTGTGGAAACATTCTTCTAGCCGGATCTTCTGGTAGTGGAAGGAAATCCTCGGCAAAAATTATTTCTGTTTTACAATCGGCAAAACTTGTTTGTCCAATTTCATCAACCAAATCGTCGTTTTGTGGTGATCTCAAAATGGCAAGAACTATTCATTTCTTTATCATTACCTTTTAACTTTTACATATTACGTATTCAGGCAATGCAATTCGTAGGAGTCGAAGATCAACCGTTGTATCTTTTAGTAGAAGATTTTTTACTTCAAAATGCAGAGATTTTAAGTATCCTTAATGTCCTTATGCAGTCTGGAGAGGTATAATCTATATTTATTGACTAAATTACCTTTGTAATATTAATTTGATTGGACGTATAGGTGCCAGGTTTATTTTTACCTGCTGAACTTGAATCCATTACCTCTGGTCTACGAGATGACTCAAATAATTCGAGTTTCGACGGAAATTTAGCCCAATATTTTGCTCAAAGTATTTCAGTAACACTATCACATTAAAATTGAAATGTTTAAAATCGTATTTTTAAGGGGTCTTGAACAATCTTCATTTTATAATCTGTTTGGATGCAGACAATCACGAATTGACGAGCATATTCCAATCTTGTCCAGCGTTAGTCCAACGGTGTTATATCATGTGGTTACCAAAATGGACACAAGAAACAATGCAAAATACACCAAATGTTCTGATAGACAAGTGATTATATTATTTATTACGGTTTTAATGTGAAGAGATAATAATTATTTCAAATATTTCAGCTATAACGAAAAGCTAACATTACAATCAAACAAAGTAGAAAAGATTCACTATTTCTTTGACATCCACAAAGTAGCAGAAGAAATAGAAAATTCTCCTTTCCACTACGTAACCCTTATAAGAACATACATTGACTTGTATACTGAAAATTTGGAAACTATTTTAAGACAACAGAAAAAGTTGCAGGTGGGTATCGCTCCATTAAGAAACGATTTTTCTTTAATTTGCAAATGTCTTCCGTAAGGGGGGAGTGTCTAAATTAAATGAAGCCAAAAACGTGGTGAGAGAATTGAAACTAAAAGCAGCGCAACAGCAAGAAATTCTATCAGAAAAACAGGCCAAAGCCAATTCAGCTTTGGACATGATCAGCAACACCATGAAGAACGCCAATGACCAGAAAAAGGAAATGGAAACTTTAAAACAGCACACGCAGGAAGAGAGCATTAAATTGGCAAAACGGTACTAATTTAGAAATAACAAAATGCCTTTTCTTTCACTTATGAATGCGTATAGGAAGCAAGAAATAGAAGAAGAATTGGCAGAAGTGAAGCCGCTCATAGAAGAAGCAAGAACCGCAGTGGGAAACATAAAATCTGAAGCACTATCGGAAATTAGGTCGCTGAGAGCACCCCCGGATGTGATTAGGGACATACTTGAAGGTGTTCTACGTCTAATGGGAATCCAGGACACTTCCTGGAACAGCATGAAGAATTTCTTGTCAAAACGTGGTATCAAAGAAGACATAAGGTATTTGGAAAAAATCATAGAAATACTAATGTATCTGATTGGTTCTTTAATTATTAGGTCGTTTGACGCCAGTAGAATCTTGCCAGAAAACAGACAAGCTGTAGAACGTTTAATGAACTTGAAGAAGGACTCGTTCAATTCAAAACTCGCGAAACGTGCTTCGGTTGCAGCAGCGCCTCTGGCCACATGGGTCTCAGCGAATGTTCGATACTCGGTTGTTTTGGACAGCATCAAACCGTTGGAAAGAGAGCAGTACAAATTGCAAAAGTAAAACAACTGAAACAGTAACAAATGTCCCGTACACAAAACAAAATCTAACGTCTTTTCTAAATTTTTTTCAAGGAATTTAGATAATGCCGAGTTTCAATTGGAAGGTCTCAGTGCTGGTTTGACAAACGTGGATGCCGCGGTGGCCAAACTTAAAGAGCAATTGTCGACTTATACCAGAGAAGCTGCCGAAATTGAAATAAGCTTGAAAGCTGCACAAGAAACATTGGACAATGCTGAAGGTCTCGTTGACAAGCTAACTGGTGAATACGAGCGATGGCAGGAACAGGTACGACTAAATAATTGTCCAAGATCATAAAAATAGCAAAATATTTTGAATTTTCTCATCATCATCATAACGTCGTCAGTCCTAAGATCGGACACGCACCTCCATTCCTTGCTATCCTGAGCTAATATTCACATTTCTCTAAAACTAAAACGTCTTAAATCCCTAACTATTTGCGAACAGTTATCTAATCTAGGTCAATCTCTATTCCTCTTAAACTCCTGTTTCTGCCTCTAACATGTCTCTGACTAGACCTTCATGCCTTAACAGGTGTCCTACTAACCTATCTCGCCTATTTCTTATTGACTTCCATAGAGTCCTCGTCTCTCGTATTCTTCATTTCTAATCTTCTCTTTCCACGGTATCCTCATCATCCGCCTATAACACCACATTTCGAAGGCTTCTAACCTTTTCTTTTCCGCAGCGCCCACCGTCTATATTTCGCACCCATACATCGCCACGCTCTAAACATACACCTTTAACAATCTGTTTCGAATTTCTAAATTAATCGTTCGTGAGCATAGAAGTGACTTCTTTTTATTGAAGGCGACTCTACCCTACAGTCTCTCCCTCTGCTTAAATCCCTACTAAACTAAAGACAAAATGGTTTGACTAAACTTCTGTGGAGTTGAACCAACTGCTTTTCAACAACTTTCGTCAATTTCTTTGTGTGGCTAGTTTTGCAACCAATATTGTTTATTTTCAGATCGAAAAGTTGTCTCAAGACATACTCCATCTTCCTCCGAATTGCTTGCTAGCGTCCGCGTTTGTAGTTTACTTGGGGGGCTGTGGCAAATCGGAGAGAATGTAAGTACCCTAATAATGATTTAATTTAGGACTAAATAATTTAATTTAGTAAATATTTCTCGATAAAGATACGAAAACAAATTTACAAGATTTTATATGGTTAATTCTCTTTTAGTTTTGAATTAAACATGACCTATAACTTCAACTAATCCTAATCCTAATTAATATTATAAACGCGAATGAATTTGTTTGTTTATTACTATTTCACGTATTAATTACTCAACCGAGCGTCATAAAATTTTGTACATACACTGTCAGGGGTAGAGAAGAGGACATAGGGTACCTTTTATCCAGAAAAACAATACCGTTCCCGAAGAATAGAAAAAGTAGTTTTATGTAATCGTCAATGATTTTTGACACGTATTTAGAACATCAACTAGAGTGAAGCCGCGGCTAAAAGTTAGTTACTGCAGTAAAAATAAACAGTAAAATAATTCGAAGTGGTCTGTATTGTGTCGAAACTGCCAGACGCGGATCGCGATTTCGATCTTTTTGGATCTCATTAGCGCGTCGCAGGCAGCTCCGACATAACACAGACCAACTTTTACCTGCTGTCTTAACAGTGCGTTTTAGAAAATACTACAAATGGCGCAGTAAACGCCATCTGTAGCACAATGCTACATTTTAGGATTACGTGTGCTCCAACAATGTCCGCTTGTGTGGATATCTACTTGTTGAAAACGAATCCCGGCGTAGCCAACCTGAACATGATAGGCACGTTAGCGTAATCGAATAAAATAATTCGAAGTGGTCTGTATTCTGTCGAAACAGCCAGACGCGGATCGCGATTTCGATCTTTTTGGATCTCATCAGCGCGTCGCAGGCAGCTCCGACAGAACAGAGACTAACTTTTACCTGCTGTCCTAACAGTGCGTTTCACAAAATACTACAAATGGCGCAGTAAACGCCATCTGTAGCACAATGCTACATTTTAGGATTACGTATGCTCCAACAAGGTCCGCTTGTGTGGATATCTACTTGCTGGAAATGAATCCCGGCGTAGCCAACCTCAACGTGATAGTCACGTTAGCTTAATCGAATAAAATAATTCAAAGTCCTCATGCTTTTAAATAACACCCGTAGAATAAAGACTGTACCGACTTTTATCAAACACACCTCGTAAACCTTACGGGATTCCGCTTGCATGCATTTTTACGGACATTGTTTGTAATGTCGATTGCTAGGCACTTGTAACATACATGTATGCAAATGCAAGGTACATTTTACGTTTGTGTGTTAATAAAACAACTCGCCAGATTGGACCAGATGAATGAAAAAGTAATAATAAATGTGCAGCACAACATACGGCAATGTTGTTCATAATGAATTTGAAGAAAACATAAGAATTTCACTTGCACCAACTCACTGTGAGGTAAGTAAACTCCCTAGATATGGTATAAATATAAAGTAATTACCTTTTAATCATAATAAAGAACCATTATGTTTGCTTCACATAAATAATATTTACGAGTAATTTTTATTACTCTTACAATATAATATTTTTCTTTTATTAAGTACGGACCCACTTTGCATTTTTGTAACTTTACTAAAGTTGAAAACTCGACACTTTTGTTCAACGTTTTTATTTATTATACATATATACAAGGTTTGTCCGGGAAGCAATGGGACTGAGTCGATTTAAAAAGATTTATTGAGCCAATCGTTACAATTCTTTAAAAACTTTCAAAATAGGCTCCTTCTGCGTCGATGCAGCGCTGCCAGCGCGATTTCCAAGCAATAAAGGCGTCACGGAAGGCATTCTCCGGAATAGCCTTAAGAGCCGCGGTGCATGCCGCTTGGATCTCCTCTGTCGTCTCAAAATGCTTGCCTTTCATCGGCCTTTTCAGGTGAGCAAACAAAAAAAAGTCCGGGGGGGGGGCACATCTGGGCTGTAGGGCGGCTGCGGAAGCGTTGGAATGCCGGCCTTGGTCAGGTAGCTGTCCACAAGAAAGGCGATGTGAGCCGGGGCGTTGTCGTGGTGCAACTTCCAGTCGGCTGCGATGTCTTGTCGGACCCGATTGACCCTTCGTTTGAGTCTCTTGAGCACTTCCACGAAAAACTTGGCGTTGACGGTTTATCCAGGAGGAACAAATTCATTGGTGGATGATGCCTTTCATGTCAAAAAAGACAATGAGCATCATTTTCACTTTGGATTTGCTCATTCTTCCCTTTTTTAGGCGAGGAGACGCCGGCTTGTGCCACTCGGAAGATTGCCTCTTTGTCTGGGGATCATGCTCAAAGATCCATGTCTCGTCACCTGTGATTACGTTATTCAAAAATGGGGGGTCACTTTCACACATGTTTAAATTTTCTTGGTACACTCTCACTCGCCGCAATTTCTGGTCGTCAGTGAGCACTTTTGGGACCATCTTCGCGGACACCTTGCGCATGTTTCAATGCTCCGTCACAATGTCATGAACCACAGATTTTGGTAAATTTAATATCTGGGCAATTAAACGAATACTTAGTCGACGGTCTGAGTTCAAAACTTCGCGCACACGAGTCACATTGTCGGTGTTTGTCGAAGTCGAAGGTCTTCCAGCACGGTCTTCATCGGCGACCTCTTCCCGGCCCTCTGAAAAGGCCTAGTGCCACCGAAACACACCACTTCTTGCTAAAGCAACATCTGGGTAAGCCTGCTTGATCATATCAAACGTCTCTGTCGCAGATTTAGCGAGTTTCACACAGAATTTAATCGCGTACCTCTACGAACGCTGCATTTTCGGCTTGCACACTAACAGAAACACGTCGCGCAAAAAGCCTGTTCTAACTCTCCAGGTGTTCGGAGAAAACTCACTAGCCGCTCGTTCGTTAGCTAGGAATGCCCTCTACCGAATCCAGTCGTTGCGGTACAGTCGCGGCGGAAGGAAATCAGTCCTATTACTTTCCGGACAAACCCTGTATATATAAATAATTTCTTTGTCTTTTATTATTTATTTTAATGACATATCGACACTTTTTGTCATTATGAAACTTGAGTTACAGTTTTTGCAATTGTCAAATATTTTTTCTAAATGGCATTTGCTTTTTTTTCGTTCTCGATTTGACCGCAAAGGGGTTTAAGGTGTTTTTTAGATAGGTGTAGCATAACTAGAAAGGAAGGAAACATGAACCGACTGGGCAATTTGTTTCAGGAAAGTGCCAGGAAAATAAATTTGTTAAATGAAACACTAGGTCGAGGTTCTAAGATCGAGGAAGAGACAATCGAGTGGAAAAAATCAAGTAATATTATCAATACTAATAATAACAATAATAATAAAAAAAATAAAACGAAAACAAAATTCAGTTCTCACCCGAACTATTTCGACTCGGAGGACGACAGTGACAATGGCGAAAAGACTGTTAGAAAGGGACACGATTATCGTAAACAATTCAACGTGAACAGAACGAACTGGTTAAATTTGAACGGATTCAGAGATCTTACGTTAAAAGGAGCAAATTACAGTCACCTAAATCATAATCACAAAGTCACGTTTGAGCACTTTAAAGCAAAATCATACGTATCTTCCACAGATGAATCAAAAATAACGATACCAAGCGAAATATCATCCTGCGATACCCTAATAGCTAAACGAGAAAATTTGGACGTACTGAAAAAAGATGCGCTCAACATGCAACTCCAACTCAAAGAGAAAAAAAAGGGCCATGGGAAAATCGATCCGAATAAAAAAGTTACTCAGTCGAAATTTAGAACGATGAAACAACCTGAAATACAACACAACGACAAGATAAAATCCCGCACCACATCTTCGGCAACAGTGAACATAAACGGTAACAAGACATTTTACATCGACTGTCACAAGATGCTTTCGCTGCTTGAAAAATCTATTACTTTTATCGAAAGCATTGAACAAATAATCGACATCGGTATAGAGCCTCCCGACGGGTCAGAAGACTATAAAAGAAAACGCAAACGTGCTGTGGAATTTGCCTCCAGATTTTCACGCAATTACCTCTACACCCTCGGACGTCAAAGGGCGGACCTTTTGAGGCTTACCAGCTGCGGTAAACACACTTACCGTACGAAAACCCTGACGGCACAAAAAATTGTGTCAGCAAGCCAGATAATCCTGCAGGCATTGCAAGCATATCTTCATTACCTCCCTTCGTGTCTGCCCGATTCCCTCCACGAGAAACTCCAAGAATTAATAAAGCACAGCCTAGAAATATGTAACGTGTACAGCTCGTTTGTGGAAGACAGTCCATACGTCAATGACAAAAGTCGATATCTTGTCGAATCTTTCCGCGTGAAATTCGGAAATTGTTTAGAAAAATTGCAGCAAATAAGTAACAACATTATGGAAAGGAACAATAATCTTCCCTTGGCATGTACGAAAGTATCTCTGCACAGTACCAAAGAGAGCGTGAAATCGCTCCAACTGAAGAAAAAGAAGAAAGCCCTGGCGGCCAGACTTTCCATGTACAAAGACACCACGGTTCGAAGAGATGCACCGTGGAGGAAAGCCGTCGAAGCTTTGGCCAGACAAAGGCTGAAATATAGCCACGTCAAATCGCGGTACAAAACATTCGTTCCGAAACACAGACAATCCGAAGAAATGATAGAGGTGCAAAACAAATTTCCCCCTCCTCAACCCGAAAGGAAACCAATACCACACATGCTGAAAAATACTCCTCTGTCAACCCCTGTCAACGAAGACCGAATCACCACCATGGTGGAACTGGAAAACAACCGGAACCACAAAGAAGTTCATCAGCATGACAAGAAACTGCAAGATCTGATAATCAATATTCAACAACTCGTCCAGGAAATTGACAAGAAAGAAGACAGCAATAAGAGTACCGCACTTCTAAACGGTTTCCTCAAAACAAACGGAGAGAAAGTGGCAGACAACAATCCCCAACACGAATCCTCTGTCATTTTAGAAAATCTCGCGTTGCAACTCCACAAATACTGCAACAAAGAGAAGCAAACAATGGAACAGAAGAACGACGAAAACGAGGACAAAATCCACGACGACGAGTTGAGCAGAGAAAAGAAGAAAGGAAGCAGAGATAGTCACAGGAGTTTAACACCGAATAAAAAAGATAGGATTGTTTCAATCACCGGCCCGAAAAACGCCAAACTCATCCACATGGTGCGAAACGAGGATGATGCTAGCGAGGTCGAAGCGTCGAGAGAAAGACATCAAGAGATTGATACAAATAATTGTAATGATCAGGCACCGATGGTTTGTGGGGATGAAAAGCCAAAAAAAGTACAAACAAAAACAAAGGGCGGTCTGATCCGATTAAAGGCTTCGCCACTAAAACAATTGGATTTACTGCCTAAAAACGAAGTAGTCGAAATAGTTAAATATAAGGTGAATTATAGTAAATTTTCGAAATGCAGTTGTATGTATAGAAAATCGTCGAAGATGCAGCCCTGGATCCTGCTGCGAAATGTATCCGAAAAATTGTTTCGCGAATTATTAATGTCTATTGTTCGAGAGCTGGAAATGCCGCAGCTCCTCGAAAAAATGTATCTATCCGAATTTCAGTAAGAAATATATTTCTTTATACGTCTGCAGTGCATAATTTTACCTTTTATTTTGAAACATGACGAAATGCTACCTACTCATAAATCGAACCGACAAAATACCTAATTTACTGAAATTTGAAATATTAACCTGAAAATTCATTTTTGAATTTTTTACCCACTACACGCTACCTCAAATTAATGAGGGAAAAATTGTTGCTGTTGACACACCCTAACTCACTTCTAAAAGTTGTCTAAAATTGTACCTATGTTTAATCATAGTATATTCAGTATATCTAGTTACATTAGTTCGACGGATCGTTAACCTTGTAGGTCGGTTGGTCGTTGTTGCTGTAGTACTACCTCGCGTAGTTTAGTGGTCAGAACATTGGTGCGTAAAGCCAAAGGTCCCAGGTTCGATTCCTGGCGGGAGTGACAACAGCAACAATTTTTCCCTCATTAATTTGAGGTAACGTGTAGTGGGTAAAAAATTCAAAAATGAATTTTCAGATTAATATTTCATATTAAACTAACTCACTTCTAAAAGTTGTATGTTATGTTTACTGAATTTTGTTGTTAATTGAAATATTTGTGATTATTTCTACTTCTTAGATTTTATCACACACACACACAGTTCTTGAACTGAAAACCATTCTTAATGAAATAGAACAAAAATAAGTACCTCTTGGAGTAGATGCCAAGCAGGATATTATTCATTGTTGAGACATCTCATTTTTGAATCTATACGTACACATGAAATAGATAATACAGTGACAGTTACGTTTCAAAAAATTTTGACTGCTAAAGCAATCCAACCGCTTCGCAGCAGTAATTAAAGATTTTCAATGAATTTTATATGTAAGAGATCCACAAATTACTTAGTATTAGGTATACTTCGTTTACTTTCTGTAGCGATGTGACCTTCAGTTTGACTGGCGCATAGTAGAAAAGAACAGCACTAGGCCAGAAAAGGAAGGAGACAACTCTCGGCCAAACTCTTAACCGGTGAGGAACATATAATCCGTACAGTACTGCACGGAAAAATTGACTATTTTATCAACTACAATTGCATTGCTCAAATGTGCTGTTATTGGTACCATTTACTACTAAAAATATCAACGAGATGTTTATTTATATTTGAAGACATATTAAAGGCTTTAACGCTTGTTTTCGACTCGCACTACTATTCATGATTGAACAAAACTTTTGGCAGGTACTGTATGAAAAAGTATGTTTAATGAACAAGAATCGAGAGTAAAATGAGCTTTTTTCTCACTATGTACGATTTTGCCAGCGCGCATCCAAGACATTGGAAGGGGTTGTCGCTAGAGAAAGTAAATGAAGTATACCTATCGCTCTCCTTATGAGTCATCTTCTGATATCCTTTTCCCCTTAGCAAATATACGGTATATCTTAGCATGCTAATGCTTGTGTAAATATGTCGTAAATGCAGCAACTTGTGCATACGCGGCTACGGCAGAGGCTGCAGAATCTTCTACATTAAGCAAGAACTCACGTAGCAACGTAGCCAAAGTAATCAATCAGCGGGCGAGGCCACTACTCGTAATGCCCGGAATCCCCACTCTCCAACATTTCATATAACGACCGTACAGGCACGTTACAGTTTACACCACTACAATAGTCGTTGAAACACGATTAAATAACTCAATAATTAGTGCCATTATACTGTTCCATAAATCCATTTTGTTACACGTCACACATAATGGAAGAAACAATGAATGATATGAAGAATCGTTTTGATAACCGACTGAATCATATACTGACGACGAAAAATCAGAATTCGCAAATTTTTACAAGAGCCGTGTATCTGAATAAAGTGGAGAAAGTGAAGCAGTCGAAGGCGAAGCAGGCGGGTAAACAGCCACAGGATTATCATCGTTTACGAACATACGACGTAACGTCGGTTGGTAACGAGGAAAGACTAATTGTTCCTATAAAAGAAGGCGATTCCATGACAAAGTATTACGTTTATACCGAAGAAATATTCCAAATACTACACGAGACTCATCTCGCCATCGGACACGGTGGCAGAAATCGTATGGAGAAGGAGCTGAGCAACAAATATAAAAATATCACCAGGGAAATTATCGTGATATACCTGAATCTCTGCAAAGTGTGCCAGAAGAGAATGAACGTCTCGAAAAAGGACTTCGAAGTCGATCCCACCGTTAGTAGCGAGATGAATTCCAGATGTCAAATCGATCTCATTGACATGGAACCTCATACCGATGGAGAGTACAGATTTATTCTCGTTTACATAGATCTTCTTACCAAATTCGTACAACTAAGACCACTAAAAACAAACGCGATCAAAGAAATGGTGCACGTGATTTTGGACATACTGCTAATTTTTGGAGCACCCTGTATATTACAAAGTAACTATGGGAGAGAATTTGCGAAAGATATCATTGCAGAACTGAGCGGTGCATGGAATGATTTGAAGATGGTGCATGGTAAAGAAACGTCCACTGAAAAAACGATCCAGGATATTAAAACAATCCTCAGTTCCTGGTTGGAATCGAACAACACCGAGGAATGGTCTAAAGGGTTGAGATTCGTACAATTTACCAAAAACAGGGAACACCACGCGGGTATCAACTGTAGTCCTTATGAAGCTTTGTTTGGTTCGACGTTGAAAATGGGACTGAAATTTTCCTTACCCCTTGAAACATCGAATAGCATCAATTCTGAAGAAGACCTGGACTGGTACTATTCGTCAATGGCAAAAAATATTTACTAAAGAGTATACCCCTATTTATTGTATTGTATATCATTTAATTATTTGTCAATGTATGTAAATGTTGAAGAGAATTGTTAGAGTTAGAAAGTATTAGATACAAGTTATTGAGAAAGTTATTAATAAAAATCTAGTAATCAAGTCAAATCAAAACAGTCAGATACGGATCTCGATTTCGAACTTGTTGGATCTCATCACAAACTACCGGCTACCTAGAGATAGCGTTTTATGAAGGACCCCAAATGGCGTGGTGAGCGCCATCCGTGGTACAAAGCATATTTAGAGGATTTAAGTATGTTCAACAAGGTCCATTTAGATTGATGGTCATCAACTTCCTGACCTGAGTCTACGGCATAGCTCACCATACGTGATAGGCACGTAACCAAATCGAAGAAAGAACTTCATGGTGTCTATCTTATTGGATATCATCAGCACGTCGAAGTATCGACAGAATATTGACCACCATGAACTTCTTTGTTTGATTTGGTTACGTGCTTATCACGTATAGTGAGCTACGCCTTGGATTGTTTTTTTTAGCCTTTTTTTATAACAATATTGTTGATACAAAGAACATTAATAAACTGCTCAACCCCTCCGTAATCAACACTATAGGCAAATATTTAGTTCATCGTACACTAATCTTAAGCTAAGATTGAGGACCTAAAAATGGTACCTACTGTTTAACGTTTAGGGGACATTTCCTTGAGAAAACCTACCTTTTCAGATCAATTTTAAATAAATGGACGAATATATTGAAGAACGAGTACGACATTGACGACTTTTCCATTGAAAAGTTTTTAAGTTCGGAAAGGATAAAACTCCAGTGGCTAACGGAAGGTCTCTCTAGTGACAAACTTTCTATACAAAACGCCATCATCTTACTAAACGTAAGAAATAATAATTACAATTATTTGCTTCTGTTTTATTATAATAATAATTTATATACTTGTTTATCAATTTAATCAAAATCGATCTCTCGATTTTAGACAAAGTTATGTCCAGTTGTAATAGATCCATCCTCAGAGGCTATAAAATGGTTCGTTGAGCATTTGAAAAACAAAAGTGTTGAAAGAGTAACTCAAAATTGTTCTAAATTTATAACCACTCTTGAACTTGCAATTAGGTAATTTAATAAATCTATATTGATATAATAGCGAAGAACAGTTTATTTATTTATTTTTTTTTAATGTACTTTATAAAAATACAGATTTGGAAAAGTATTAATCGTAGAAGAAATAGATACAATATCGCCAGTACTTTATCCCATTGTGAGAAAAGAATTTTCCTTACAAGGTAAGTGTATTCCTGGTGTAAGAGTATTGAGATAATGAGTGATTTATTGACTCTCAGGACAAAGAAAATTGATCGGAATAAACGGCAAATTAGTTGATTATCATGAAAAGTTTTCGTTGATTTTTGTAACTCGCAACACACAACTGAAGCTACCAGTTGAAATAAAGTCATCAGTAAATCTGATAAAATTCGTAACAGCACAGGAGGGACTAGAAGGTATTTTTTTTCAGTTTCCCAATTTATTCAAAGAATATTAAATATATGTAAAAATGATGACTTACCTATAGTTGGCATGTAAAATATATGTAGCTGCACTAACGATTTAAAATCTTCTGAAACAAAAAGGAAAGTAGTGTTATAATTTAATTTATTTAAATGGCGTTTATAGAACAATTACTGAATTCGGTTATTCAGAAAATAAGTCCAGACCTTGAAAAACGTAAAAAAGATCTGCTGTGCCAACAAGAGGAATTACAAGAAAAACAAATACAATTACAGGACCAATTGCTAGAAGATTTAACAAATTCATCTGGTGATATTCTTCAAAATAAGGTTCAAGTTTCTGCTCGGTTTGTATATTGTTACGTTTTATTGCTGTCTTCTATTAATGCAGGACTTGATCGTTTCTCTAAACAAAACCAAGTCCGGATCTGATGCGATCGTTAAAGCGCTTGAAGAATCAAGAAAAATTCAGGAGGTGATGCAAGCGGAATATGATGTTTATAAAGAGATTTCAAACTTTGGAAGTTTCCTTTATTTTTCAGCTATAGATTTTTCAAAAATAAACGTTCTGTACTCACTTTCGATCAAGTCATTCACAAGATTGTTTTTAAATACGTTACCACCTTTCGAGGTACAAAAATTATCGCTCAATTTTTTAGTAGATAGTTCTTTAACATTATTAATTGACAGGATGACGAATATGATATAAATTTGGCTAAAAGTGCTTTAATACAGGCCTTTTACAATTACATGGGTCGTGGTGTTTTTAAAAAAGACAGACTGACTTTTGCGTTGTTCTTGACCCGTAAATTATTTCCAAAAGAAATTCCCGAAGAGGTAAGTTATCGTCATATACAAACAAATGTTATAGATAACCAATAAATGTTTGATACAATTTCTTCTTAACTTGCCCATTAAAATCTAAGCAATGGGAAATATTTTTGGGAAAAACGGCAACCAAAAGAAGTATCGAGCTTGAAGAAGTTCCCCAATGGATACCGAAACATTTATCTCAAAATGTTATTTCTTTACAAGTAAGTAGAAGTAGGTTTTGTGTAAAGTGGTTTCTAAAGTATTATTATAAGAAATTAAGAGTAGATTAAAATTAAATAATTATTTGGGGTGTCAGTTACTTCCAGCCTTTTATAAAATGTTAAGATTAGATGACCAAAAGCTATGGGAAAGTTTTATTCAAAATACAGATTGCGAGAACTACTTTCCACAACATACAAAGTATTCTGATTTTGAAAAAGTGCTATTAGTTCAATGCTTCAGACCTGATAGACTTCTTACAGTATTGACGAGTTTTATATTTCGACTAACAGGTGAATAAATTTTTTACTTTCCTTATTTTACATTTATGGTTTGCTTTGTTTAAGGTCTTAGAAGCTTGCATCCTGAGATACTACAATTTTCGAAAATTTTCGGAGAATCTATTGAAAATGAACCAATATTGATAATAACCAGTTCTGGTAATGATCCATCTGTAGAACTTAAATCTTTAGCTGAACGAACTGTTGGACCTCAAAAATATGTTGAGGTAATTATAGTTTTTTCTCTTGTTGAAAATCCGCCAACAAAAAATTAAAATTTTATTGATTTAGTATTTTAATGGGGATTTAATATGGTTTGGGACATTGATGAGGGTGGCATTTAATGAAAAGTCCTCTAGAACAAAGACATGAACTAATAACTGCAGTGGTTTTGGCGGGTACCCGGCTATCCGACACCCGGCAAAATCACTGTGCGGTGCATCAATAGTTTTTACTTTTCAAAATGATACTTTTAGTTATTATTAATTATGAAAGTACCATTAAGGTGTCTTTAATTAAAAAAAATGCTTCCGTTTCCTTTGTTCTTAAGATTTCAATGGGTGAAGACGAAAAAGATGCGGTGCTGACCACTCTGCTGGAAGCTGCAAAGCTAGGAAACTGGCTAACGTTAAAAAATTTACATTTAGTAACCACTTGGTTGCCAATTCTTTGCCAGAATCTGCAGAATATCGAATTTCACAAAGATTTCAGGTACAATAGCGAAACATCCATGCACTATAAACGTATACAATTTTTAATTTTCTTAAGACTTTGGTTAGTAACGGAATATCACAAGCAGTTTAGTCCAGTTTTGGCTCAAAATTGTTTAAAAGTCGTTTTCGAAGCACCCCAAGGAATCAAAAATAACATCCTGAGAAGTTTCTCGAAATGGGGACCATCATATTTAAATAAATTAAATCCCACAGGATCTAGGATATTTTTTATCCTTGCATGCATCCATGCTGTTTTACAAGAAAGGAGGACTTATATACCACAAGGTATAGTCTCTTTATGATACTTAAGTACAACTGATGATTGAAATCTACATTAGGATGGTCAAAATGGTACGAATTCAGTGACTCAGACTTGTCTACGATAGTCCGATTGGCGGAGGAAATATGGAAGTCGCAAACAATCGCGCTGGTGTGGAAATATCTTTATGGATTATGTGCGGATGCTGTATATGGAAGTAGAATCGAAAAAAAGGAGGATCGAAAAATCCTTAAAGCCTACTTGAAACAATATTTAAATGACGAATGTCTCAGTCACAGATGGCGTCCTTTAGGATTAAACGCACCCTTGCCGACATCTTCTAATTACGACGTAAGAACAAGAAGAACTATGTTTGTAGAATTAAGAAAAGTTGTGTCGCACTAGAAAACTTAAAGAATAATAAGGGGCCAGGTGTAGATGGGATACAGGGGGAAATTTTAAAACATGCAGGACAACCGGTTACAGGTCGTATGTTTAAGCTAGTTAATCACATTTACCAGTCGGGAAAAGTTCCAGGTAGTCAGACAGGAATGCACACTGTCACCGCTACATTTTAATCTATACATCAAAGACACGATCAACATCATTAAAGATAGTACAACTTTAGGGATAGATATAAAGGGACAAAAGATTAGTATGCTTAGATTTGCAGATGATTTAGCAGTATTAGCATCTAGCAAGGAGGAGTTAGAGATAGGTTTATATAAAATAGAAGCGATCAACATCATTAAAGACAACTGTAGGGATAGATATAAANCGGTATTGACAAAACAATACTGTATGAAAATAAATGAAAGTAAAACAAAACTACTGGTAAACAAGAGAAGAAAAAGTAGGGAAAGAGCGAATATAAAGATAAGAGACGAAAAATTAGAAGAAGTGGCTGATTTTAGGTATTTAGGAAGTCAGATAAGTCAGAATGGAAGGAGTAGTAGGGATATAAAGCAGAGGATAGCGCAGGGTCGAGTCGCCTTAGATAAAAAGAAGTCACTTCTATGCTCGCAAATGGTTTATTTAGAGCGCGGCGCTGTACGGGTGCGAAACATGGACGATGGGCGCGACGGATAAGAAAAAGTTAGAAACGCTCGAAATGTGGTGTTACAGGAGAATAATGAGGATACCGTGGATAGAGAAGGTTAAAAATGAAGAGGTATTAGAAAGGATAGGAGAACAGAGGACTTTGTGAAAGTCAATAATAAATAGGCGAGATAGGTTGGTAGGACACCTTCTTAGACATGAAGGTCTAGTCAGAGACATATTAGAGGCAGAAAAGGGAGTCAGGAGGGGTAGAGGTAGACCTAGATTAGATTACTGTTCGCGAATAGTTAAGAATGTGGGATGTTACAATTTTAAGGAAATGCGAAAATTAGCTGAGGATAGGAAAGAGTGGAGGTGCATGTCCAACCAGTCTTAGGACTAACGTTATGATGATGATGATGTATCGCTCTTAGTAGATCAAATATTGATTAATTTTTTGTCGTCTCTTTTGAAGGAATACATAAAATCAATTCAGCATCTCAACAATCGCGATTTGGCAGTTTATTTTGGTTTGCCTGAAAATATAGAAAAAGCTTTGGAAAGAAATACAAGCGTTCGTGTCGTGGAGAAATTGAAAGGTACTTATTTCGTAATCCCTGTTTTGTTAATCACTTACGTATTAGATGTTCTATTTCTAGACTTATATATTGGAGGAAATATGCTAGCGAGTGATGTTTTCGCAAAAACTAACATAAACAATTGGCAAAAATGTTTGGTGCCGTACATGTCCCTGTGGAAAAAATTAAACCAAAACCATGGATTTATAAAAGAAAACGTAGACATGTTGCGTTGCGAAGGAAATCCGCTAGAAGTGTTTATAGCGGAAGAATACAAACATGGGATTTTACTGTCGCAGAGAATTCACAAATCCCTTTCGGCGTTAAACAGTGTATTAAAGGGCAATTCTGCACCAAACGACGAAGACAAAAAGATTGTAAGCGATTTTCAAAACCATAAGGTAAGATTTCTTCCCTTTGTGGGTAATAATACATTCTGAGGGGCAATCAAGTTTATGTAGACACACGTTGGGGTATAAGGGGAAGACAATTAATCTTACTTAAGATAAGAACTGTAAAATAATTAATAATTCACAAATAAGTCATGCATCTTCTGTAAAAGTAAGAAATAGATAAGAATGATCTTTTGTTGCAAAACAAATATTTCTAATTTAAAATACATCACGCATTTTGTAACTCACTTTTGAGCCCACTAATTCTCATTATCAAGTGAAGTCATATTTTGGCACTTCCCCTATTGATACCATGGTAAGTACCACAATAAAGTCGCCTTCACCCCCTAACATAACAGTGAATTACTTTTACTTATTAATGTGAATCTTTCTTGTCTATTAAGTTTATTTCAAAATAAAGCTTGCAATAAAATAGTTATTATTCAAAAATTTCTGGACCTGATATATCATTGGTCTTATTTTAACATAGAAAATTTTTAAGAAATGACCACCCCTTCTCTCGTCATACATTCTAACGTAATATCCCTTTAGATGTGTACGAAATTAGAAATTCTAACTTAAATTAACTTAAAATATACCTACTTCGTATCAGGACTCTCTATCTACCATCAATTAATATCAAATATGATCCTTTTTGCATCTAATTGAAATGTCGTACAAAAACACTGAAATCGTTCACTCACTTTTAAGAAAATTTAATCTTTTTTGTATCTATAAACAGTTAAACACCAAGTTATAAAAACTGAAAGTTTAAGTTCTTTTTGTTCATCACGTTTTCACATTTCTAAATACTTAAACTCTCTATAAATTTAATAATAAATTTAACCAACCGCCACGATTCTCTAACGAAAACTGATGAAACAAACACGTTGTTTACCCAATTCGAGTACTGGTGCCGTTTTTTGCTCGTCTATAAGAGAGATAACAATGATCTTCATTTGTCCTTTGCCGTTAGTGAAAGGAAAGTTGTTCAAATAATAAGACGATACAACGTATTTATGTATTTAGTAATACGTATACATACGAGGGTGGATTGATAAGTTTCCGGCCTAACCAAGAGATGACGCCACTAGGCCTACCTTGAGGTGACATTCTATAGTACCATCCTTGGATAGCTTGTAGCTATAGTTTCAGCCCGATCTCCTTGCTAGTGTAGGTTTGACAGCACGCTGAACAAGACGCCTCTGTGGTTTTCGTAAAAATGGAAAAGCAGGAAAATCGTGCTGTCATCAAATACTTTTATTTGAAGGGGTTAACGCCGAAGGAAATTAAAAAAGAGATGGACTCAACACTGGGGACATCCTCCCCGTCATATTCAACCGTTAAGCAGTGGGTTTCCGAGTTTAAAAAGGGTCGTGTGAGCACCTCTGATGGGCCTCGCTCAGGACGCCCCGTTGAGGTCACAACTCCAGATATGATCGAAAAAATTCATCAAATAGTGCTGGGAGACCGCAGATTGAAAGTGCGTGAGATAGCTGAGACCTGTAAGATGTCATATGAACGTGTGCAACATATTTTGCACCAACATTTGCATATGGAAAAGCTCTGTGCAAGATGGGTGCCGCGTTTGCTAACCGTCGACCAAAAATTGATTCGAAAAAACATTTCTACCGCAAATTTGTCATTGTATAAGCGTAATCCAAGCGAATTTTTGCGTCGATTCGTAACCGTTGACGAAACGTGGGTCCACCACTACACTCCTGAAACCAAAGAACAGTCTAAACAGTGGATTGGACCAGGGGAACCAACTCCAAAGAAGGCAAAAACAATTTTTTCGGCGAACAAGGTTATGGCTACTGTTTTTTGGGATGCAAGAGGTATTATATACATTGATTACCTTGCAAAGGGTAATACTATCACTGGTCAATACTACGCAGACTTATTGCAACGTTTGAGCCACGAGGTGAAAATTAAACGACCTCATCTGGCGAAGAAAAAAATCTTGTTTCATCACGATAACGCACCAGCGCACACGTCAATCGTTGCGACGGCTAAAATCAACGATCTAAAGTTTGAATTGATGCCGCACCCTCCTTACTCTCCAGACCTAGCCCCGAGTGACTATTTTCTGTTCCCTAATCTCAAAAAATGGCTTGGCGGTAAGAGATTTGCGGACAATGAAGAAGTAATCGAAGCTGTAAATGGTTATTTTGAGGAGCTTGACGAATCAGTCTATAGAGATGGCATTAATAGACTGGAACACCGCTATGAGAAATGTATCAGCCTTGGAGGAGATTATGTTGAGAAATAAAAAAAAAAATTTTTTAAAAACCTTGTTTTTCTTGGTCAGGCCGGAAACTTATCAATCCACCCTCGTATATAGCACATTCCCGAAATAATTCGTAAACGTACGAATTAAAATTTAAGAACACTATATGATTTATTTTTATTCTTTATTCTGTAAAATAAATGAGATTGTAATAGAAAGAGCTTTTTTAATTTTTGTTTAATAAATGAGATTGTAATATGATTTTATTACTACATTAATTGTTTAGACACCAATTTGTTGGTTAAAAATATGGAAAGGTTCGGAAGACCCTCAAGATTACATGAAAAGCGTTGTGGGAAAAGTAAGAAAATTGTTGGATTGGCAAAATACAAAACCGATCGAAAAATTTTTTGGACTTTCTATAGATTTATCGTACACCTTTCACCCGGAAGGTTTTTTCGCTGCTTTTAAACAGTACCATGCGAGGTAACTGCAAAAACACCCGAATATTAAAAAAATATCAATTTATTCCAATTTTCAGAAAATATAAAATTGCTTTAGACGAATTGTGTATGAGAACTACATTTACTCCATCTCCTGATGGAGAATCTCTAACTTTAACCAATTTATTATTAGAAGGAGGTCTTTTCAATGGTCGAAAATTAATAATGTGTGACTCTAACTCGAACAATTTGAGTTCCTCCCCTGATTGTCAATTGTCTTGGGAAACTAAGGTACTAATAAAAAAAAGATTTTGCAATTTTCTTACTGTTTATAAACTTTTAAATTTGCTATTATTTATTTATTTTCAGACTTCCAAACTTGACAATTATGAATACTTAAATGTTCCCTTGTATACTTCGAAAAGGGAAAGACTTTTAACGTTCCTACAGGTCCCATGTGAACCGAAAGAAAAGGAAATATGGATAACAGCAGCTTTGGCATTTTTTATTGATTTTTAGTCTTGTAATAGTTATCACATAATAAAGAAATTTTATCTTAACGTACGATAATTGACGATATTCCTAGTGGCTTTTAATTCCGCATTTTAAAATAATATTTACTGCAAATAATTAATCTTTTATAATGTTAAGCGACTTATAACTGATAAAAAGTTGTTTTAATGGTATTTCCATTTTTTGTTTCATTTTTGTATCAATAAGTATATACATTAAATCCTTATTTAATATACATTTGCACCGCCGCTGATTTATCTAAAGAGTCCATATCATAATTTATTTTCTATAATTTAAAAAATCGTACATTTTCGTTATATAGCATTTACGAAGTAAGAAAAGGTGTAACTTATACTAATTACATTTAACATCATGTCATAGACTTTCGCGGTGCTTTTTGAATCAAGTCCTCGTCAGAGTCTCACCGTCAGTGGAGAACTGTCATGGCTAATGTGAAAGTTCCTGTTTGTGTCCTGCACTGTTGTCACTTATTGTAGTTTTAAATTAGTAATTCTCCTTAAAATAATATTTGGAGTATTTGTGACGCAAACTAAGTATGAAATGAGTAGTGTTGAGTGATTGTGAGGGTCGGGGTTTACGGAAAAAATCCAAATTACGCCCTAATTAGTAATCGTACATTTGTTTAGAACCCAGAAAAGATAGACCTTGAAACGCCGTCTCCATATGACGTACACAACAAATTTACTTATGTTTTAGCGGTTTTTTTAAATTTGGCATGATTGAAAATTAATTATGGATAACAACGAAACGAACAGAGACTTGCTTGAAAATGTCTCGATAACTGATGTAGGGGGCTCGCAGTACATGTTACAACGAATGTCCGTTGAAAATCATCATTTGCTTAATAATGAACTTCTCCAACATCATAGTGGATTAGTTGTAGACTTAGGGGGTGGCGATTTTATTCCAGTTAATTATACTTCCGATGATCTACTTCCCCAAGAATTAACTGAAGAAGATCGTAATTTGGCAGCTGCTTTAGTTGCTGTTCAATTTAATCAACAACAAAAACAACAACATAACCAACAAGACTCTACTGTAATTATTAATACTTCCCTAGCTTCATTAGTTAATCAAAACGATCTAGGTAATTACCTTTATTTGTGTAGTTTATTGCAGTTAATAATTTATTGTCCTTACAGACAAAGTAACAGCAAGTGCAATAAATAGCAACTATTTGCATATAGTAGGACCAGATGGACAGGGACTCTATATTGAAGAAAAAAGTACTCTTCCTAAACTCTTAGACAATCGTTTTCAAACGAGCAGTCAAGAGGATTCAAGTCGCACTATTCAAAAACAAGATGTAAAATCAGAAGAAGAGAATAGTCAAAAAGAGTCAGATGGTGAAACAAAGTATGCTTTTTTGACATTTTTGCTGTATAATAACACTTAAACAAACGCAAATATTCAATTGTTAGGCATTTGTTTTAGTAAAACAAAATTCCAGAAAACAGTTCTTGATTATTTTATTGTTTCAGAAATGATAACCGTTCTTCAAAAAAAAGCTTGCCCCACAAAAAGCGTATATCTCGAAAACTTAAAAAAGCTCCTCCCTCTGGCAAGAATAAAGCCCAAAAATGTACTCTTTGTGAGCAGATATTTCCTAATAATGAAGAACTGTTGACCCACCAGACCATATGTCAAACAACTATAACGCCAGTGCCTTCGCATTTATTTAATTGTCAGCTATGCAGTGCCACTTTTTACAATCAGCTAAGCTTCTTTGAACACTTGAAGGCACACTATGAACCAACTCAAAACAATCAGCTTGTTACACCAACATCAACTACTGCTAGTAATGACCAATCGGTGTCGCCGTCTATTTTAAATGACCCAACGACTTCTGTAACATGTGAGGACCCTTCTACTACAGCTGGGGTAAGATAAATATATAAAAAAGGGAAATATTCTAATTTCATTATAGTGTATCTTCATTGTTAAGGAACAGGAAGTTCTTATTTATTATCCTTAAACCACGCTTATTGATTTCACTCCTGATTTAAGGATAGCAAACTTTCTATTTGATATTTTACTCCAAAATTGTCATTTTCTCAGTTTTAATTGTTTCAGAACTATGCCGGCGACAAAATAATTGTGAAAACTGAGTTAGAACAAAAAGAAGTTCTGCTTTCGTCTTTATTAAATCTAAATTGCCTACAGTGCAATAAAACATTCAAACGACAGAAAGCATATGAAGCCCACATAAGGGATGTTCACAACAAAGTTGAACTGGCCGATTTTAGCGAATCAGAAGATCTTATGGATGGTATTGACGTAAATGTTGACGATCCAGGAGCATTATCGGATGACGATTCAAAAAATTGGTAATGTTTATTTTAAAAGAGTTATAACGTGATATTTTTACAATTAATTTTAGGATGAAGTATAAAGATGAAGACCTTTATCAAGCTGAAGCAGATTTAAGGGAGTTAGAAGCAGAAGAACATGTTTGCCAGAACTGCAAGCAACCTTTCCCCATCAGGGCTATTTTATTGCAACACTTGGTTACTTGTAAACCCCCAGAAGGCCAGCAAGCTACAGGTAAGGTGAAAACATCTAATTCACTTTATATCACATATTTTATTTAATTTCGTTTCAGAGCCTACAAAACAAACTTGGAATGCTAGTGGAGGAAAAAAGCGAAATAGAAAAAAACAACAGGGAGACTTAAGTTGTTCTGAATGCGATCGTGTTTTTATGTACAGGAACTCCTTGTTATATCATATGAGAAGTCACACGGGAGATAGACCTCATCAATGTGACCAATGCGGAAAGAAATTCTTTGCGGCCAGTGCACTTAAAGTGCACCTTCGACTACACTCAGGTGATTAAAACCCTACGTCATGGTATATTTTCACATGAATGGAGTTTAACTGTTGTTTTGTTGTTGCAGGTGTTAAACCGTACAAGTGCGACCACTGTGGACGTTATTTCCGACAGTGGGGCGATCTCAAGTATCACTGCATTTCGTTGCATTCGGACCAAAAGAACTACCAATGTGAATATTGCGGCAAAGAGTTTGCTAGAAAATATTCTCTAGTCGTACATCGGAGGATTCATACTGGGGAAAAAAATTATCGTTGCGAATTCTGCGATAAGACTTTCAGAGCTTCATCTTATCTCAACAATCATCGTAGAATACACACAGGTACTTATACTGTTTACATATTTTAAATTCACTTACTTTAATTGTGCCATGGTGACATTTGGGTAGTCCCAGGGTTCTCACTTAGCCCCTATCTTATTTATACTTTCCATTAATGACTTATCTGACTCTTAAATGCTCATTTACTAATTTTGTTTAGGTGAAAAGCCTCATGCGTGTGAAATTTGTGGAAAACCATTTAGAGTTCGTTCAGACATGAAAAGACATTTAAAGACCCACAGGAGACGGCGGCAATCCAGGAGCACCATATCTCCGTCTTGTGACGTTATAGTTGCGAAAAAAGAAGAGCTGAACGAAAGTAGTGGTAACATGCTTATCGATTCTGATACTGACCCTCACCCTCCAGAAGTGGAGCATGAAAATGCCGTACAAACACTCCAATTTGATCAAGATCCTTTGGAAATTAGAGATGGCAGTACACTTTACGTCATGCCTATACTTATCACTTAAGTTTAGCATAATTTATTGTAAATAGAGAAACAGCATGAAAAAATTTGTTGCAATAGAATTTACTTCATTTAAATGTAGGTTACAGTATGTTATAGTTATTTTTTATTAATAAATTAATATATTNATCATTCATTTATTAACGTACTTCCAAGCATACACTACTATTTCTTTATATAATAAACTATTCCAAAATTATTTAAATATCTACAGGCTTAATTGTAATATATCGTGACAAAATGAACACAACAACAAATGTACTAACAACAACTGCAGCTGCAGTCATATAAAAAGTTTCTTCTGTAAAGATGTCTGTAAAAGCAGGTATTTTGTTGTACAGTGTCTCAATAAGCTGTAATTGATAGTCTTTCCTCTGAGCCATCTTTTATTTCTTCTTGGCTTTCTTCTTCTCTACTTTCGTTATCAGTGAAGGAGTTTCTGGTTCTGCTTCTACTTTAGCACTTATATGCTTATTAAACAACTGTAAAATCTCTAACACTGTTAGATTACCAGCTAAAAACCTTATGCTTCTACAAAAAAATGGCATATAAACAAAACATAAGAACCCTATACTTATGATTAACAACTTACCTATTATTTTCCAAGAGGTCTACCTTTATAAAGGGCTCGCTCCTATCGCAGACGATGTTTGTTTTAATTATACAGTTCAAATTTGTGTTTGTGACTTTTGAAGAAGTTAAAGAAAACGCTAAATCCCTGAAACCAGGAAACAGAACTTCTCCTACTTTTTTAGAAATAAGTAATATAATGTTACGCCTGCGTTAATGTTATAAATAGACTGGATCGATGCATACAACAAGGAACTCTAGGTTGGGTTATAAATTGCAGTAATAAGGTTTAAATCATGTTGTAGAACGTACCTTGCTGTTGTGGCTTTTGGATGAAAAGGATCAAACTGAACTTGTATTCTTTTAACAGGCTTAAGACTAAGCACTTTTAACTGCTTTGTTATGGCACTAGATACACCCGAAGATCTTGTAAACGTACCACTATAATAAATCGACATTGCGGTTATGAATGGGTAGCAGCGGCTGCAAATTCCATTACTGCATAAATGTGCATAGGGTATGCATAGGGTTGTGGACACTTATTTCTATAGATAAGTATAGATAGAGATAAAATCAAAAAACTTAGTGTCTCGTGTGCCTTTCAAACCTAAATTGATGCGCAGTCGCTCATTGCACAATGCTAATAACTAAGTCCATAGACAAAAGTAAGTCCACAAATAAGAAATATATTGTAGATGTATAGTAGTCAAAGTAAGTCCAAGTCATAGATCATAGACTTTTCATAGAGATGGTCATAGATTGTCCAAGTCATAGATAATAGGTTCAAGTCAGTCCAAGTCATATATAATAGGTCCAAGTTACGAAGGTTAAGAACGTGAAGAACTTAAGGAGCATGTTAGGAAGATAAAAAGTGTTAAAACATAAGAAAAGTGCAAGTGCAGGGAATAAGTTGTATCATTTAATTTACGAATAACAGTAGAAATAAATAATTTTTATTGAAAAACATGTCTGAACCACAATCTGCTTTTGCCGTATACAAGCAACAGTTAAAGAGCCAAACTAAAAAGAAACACAAACCCAAGAAAAGCTCTCAGAAGATTAAAAACAAAGCATTAATAGTCGAAAAACGTGACTCTGTTACAATGGAAGCTGATGGTAATTCAGGTTCAGATGAAGATATTCCTCAATTAGTCCCTATTGAAGATAGTTGGATAGAAAGTTCTTTTATTCAAGAAAACGGTGGTATTCAAAAAAAAGGTAGTAAATGCTTACTTATTAAAAGAATGAACAATTAATAAATAAATTTACAGAAAATGGTGTCACTTCACGTAAAAGAAGTTTAAAACACAAATCAAAAAGCAAACCTCAGAAAAAAAAGAAAAAAACATTCAGCAATGGGGAACACAACTATATATCTAAGAGTTCAGAAATATCTACAAACCATACAAATTTTGATGAGAAGGCCAAAACTATTTTTGAATGGCTTATCGCTCCTATAAAGGCCTCTGATTTCTTTGAAACATATTGGGAAAAGAAACCACTTATTATTAAAAGAGGCAGCAATATTTATAGACACATTTTATCCACTGAACAATTAGATTTGATGCTACGAGAAAATTCATTGTTTTTTACCAAAAATGTTGATGTTGTCCAATATAAAGATGGGAAAAAAGAAAATTTCAATACTGAAGGCAGAGCCTATGCCAGCAATTTGTGGAGCTTTTATAGCGATGGTTGCAGTATCAGAATCCTTAATCCACATACATACAACTCAAAGATACACCAATTATTGGCTGCCCTTCAGGAATACTTTGGGACTATGGCAGGTGCAAATATATATTTAACACCACCAGGAAGTCAAGGATTTGCTCCCCATTATGACGACATTGAAGCCTTTGTTATACAGTTAGAGGGACGAAAACATTGGAAATTGTATGGCCCCAGGAATTCATCAGATATATTACCCCGTTACTCAAGTGAAAATTTTGATCCAAAGGATTTAACAAGCCCTGTTAAAGAAATAACTTTAGAAGCCGGAGATTTGCTGTATTTTCCACGAGGAGTTATCCATGAAGGCCACACTGATGATGATTCACATTCATTACACATGACAGTGTCTGTCTATCAACGCACTTCATATGCTGATTTATTGGAACATGGTTTAAAGGCTGCTATTAAAATTGCAACAGAAGAAGATCCAGAATACAGGTAAGCAAAACCGGAGATAATTGTATTTTTGACAAGGTTCATAAATTTCTTACAAAAAGTTATAAAGGTTACTTAATAGTTATAGAAATACATTTCATATTCTGTTAAATCCAGGAAAGGACTGCCAATAAACTACTTGAAACATGTAGGTGCAGTGAACAGTGAGTCAGTTTCTCAAATAAGAAATAGTATCATACAAACTATAAATCATTTAACTGAAAAATTGGTTAATTACATTCCCATTGATGCAGCCGCCGATCAATTAGGTAAGCAATTCATGTGGGATGCCCTGCCACCTGTTCTAAGTAAACAAGAGAAAGAGTGTAGCGTCCATGGGAATGGTGAACAGTTGAAAAAGGGCACTGTTAGCAATAGGTGAGTCTTTATCTTAAAGAAACAAATCCGCGCCGATTCTAAATGAAGCATAATCAAGAAGACTAGAAGGGAGTAATAACGACCTGTCTTGCATAATGAGTGAGCCGTAATAGTGTTACCAAGTTGAGCTACGTTATCCGCTGCGCAATAAAACAGTGCGCATTCGGTTTGCTCATTGGCAAGGAGAGGGCATTCATTTCGGATTAAGTTATTGCTCCTATATCTATATAACATTTTACTCATTTTGAAAAGGTTCAATATAAGTGTTGAATATTTTTGTATTTATAGGGTAGAAATTGATTTGGATGTAGATATACGTCTTATCCGTTATTATGGTTTGAGATTGGTGATGGAAGAAGATGCAAAAATCAACGTTTATTATTCTGTGGAAAATGCAAAAGTTTACCATGATGAAGAAATGCAGTATTTGGAAATTCAAGAAAATTATGCTCCTGCCATTGAACATCTTTTATTGAATTATCCATTTTTTGTTAAAGTTTCAGAATTACCATTCGAAGATGATACTACCAAAGTCGAATTCGTTACAATTTTTTGGGAAAGGGGGCTTTTAGTTACTTCAAAACCTCTCCCAAGTGTTGAATAAAAAGTGTTAATTGTATTATTTTGAAGAATTTGTTAACAGTTTCATTAAAAAAATAAATGTTTTATAATAATACTTCTTAGTATTCAATTTGTTTGTTTGTAAATGTTACTTTATAACTCTCACTATGCATAAATATGGGCATTGCTAAAATATCACCCTGTATCTTAATTATGCTTTCCATCATAGATATACAAAAATATCATCTATGAGTATCATGGATATTTTTTTGTGAAAGTTTGGTTATGAAATAAGAAAATTGAGACAAACGTCAAATTATTATAAAAAAGTTTAATAAACAGGTGTTAACAATAAAATTCGGACAATATTTTTGTCTTAATTTGTATGGTAAACAATTGAGACCGTTCATATATGAATTTGGGTTTATTTAATCGTGTAAATTTAAAGGTAATTGATTTAAACTGTGGTGTGTATATATTACTTGTAAGTTTTTATCAGGAAAGCACCGAACATAAGGGAATGTACTCAGAATGGACCTCTCTAAGTTATCAAGTACAGACATGTGGTTTAGAGAATCCAAGTGTTTTAGAAAAATTTGGAGAAACTGTAGGCAAAGAAGTAGCTTTAGGTGTGGTACGACAGCTTGCTAGTAACTTGGGCATTACACAAACAGCAGAGCCTAGCCCCCTTATAACCGATAAAGAGGTAAGTGGGTCTCTGATTATTGCTCTATGTAATTTATTAATGATTTTATTTGCAGGTCAATTGGTGCATGGAAGTAATATGTTTTGGCCTGTCTCTACCTTTAGCTGAACATGATATTATTAAAGATTGTGTCAACGTCTATTGCGAATGGTTATCTGCATTGCTGTCTTCTCAAAAAATATGTGTTCCAAAACCCATATGTGATGATGCTAATATGTATGCAAGAAAGATCATTTTACATTTCCATCATTTATTTGTTCCAAGGAAAGGGGAAGGTGTGTTATTGACAGGGATAGATAACATGATTATTATTTTTAAATTTGTGCTCTCAAATTTTCCATTTTACTTTTTTTTGTTATTAATGAAACTTCAGTATCCCTGTATACTCATAACAATTTGTTTTTATTGTTTATTTAATAAACTAACAAATAAATGTTGATTTTTGTATGCAGACTGGCCATTTTTGTACCAGGAGATAGGTACTTATGAATACATATTTAATTGTGTTTTGTGTAAACAAAAATGCATGTTAGTGTATAGAGAAATTTGGAGTTTAGAAAGAGATGTACACTCATGTTACAAAATATATACATTAATGGATTATAAAAAGCTGGAACACTCTGTGCCAGTTGTTAGTTTTACATTTGTAGTGTATTTTCTTTTACTTCCTTTCTTTTATTTGATAATGAGTTACAATGATTTTTTTGGACAATAGGTCAAGATACAATTAATAGACAAGCTGTTTTATGTCACCGAGTTCTACGAACTTTACAACAAGTAGCACATGAGTCAAAAAGTCTTACAACTGAAACTTGGAATGCCCTGTTGTTATTTTTACTTGCAATAAATGATACTTTGCTGTCCCCTCCTACAGTTAAAGACGATGTAGCTGATCAGCTGTGTGAGAGAGTTTTGAGTGTGCTGTTTGAGGTGATTGAAGCAGTCTTATTTACTTTATCTTACTATTTAACAGTATTATATTTCTAAAGGTGTGGTTGATAGCATGCTCTCGTTGTTTTCCCACTCCACCCCTATGGAAAACGTTGAGGGAATGTTGCCTTAATTGGAGACATAGGGTTGCTTTGGTTGAGCAATGGAACAGGGTAAATTTGGCCCTTACCTCAAAGGTTCTCGCCTTCATGTATGGACCAAATTTTCCTGATTTTAAAGTGGGTAAGATATACTTAATATCAGTGTACATATTTATATTTTGTAGTAATAATAGTTTTACCCTTTTAAAAATTATCTTCATTGTTAGTTTAAAACAAAAGGTCTTTTTACTCATAAAATTTTAGGGGAAGACGATTTAATACCGCCTGATATGAACAATGATTGTATTGTTCAGAGTTGGTACCGATTTTTAAACACTTTAGGGAATCCAGTTAATTTAACAAAACCAGAAGTAATTATTTCCGAATGTATTTAACATACGAAATTAAAAAAAAAATGTTTTAGGTAATAAGTCAAACGCAAAAATTTTTGCAGTTTGCAATCAGCAGCGACTCTGTTGTGGATCCTTGTCAGCATCCTTGCTTAAAATCTTTACCACTAATTTTTTTGAAAGCGATTAAAGGCATTGCCGGACATGTTGATGCTTTTTTAGGTATGTGAATGCATGATTTTACTAATGTTTGAACTATTAAAGGTTCTTTTTAGTGGGTTAAAAAATATTAAAACTGAAATATATTTTGTTTACATATATCATGCATGTAAATAGATTCCATAAAAACACAGGAATTGTAGGGAGACGACATATATTTTGTATTTTTGTGGCTTTTTTGGAATGTCTAAAAACTCTCAGTTCTATCTTTTGCAGTGGAGTCATAGGTTTTAAATGTTAAATCAATTTATCCCGTAAAAGACAGGGGAGTTTTCTGTTTCTTACTTTTGTTTATTACATGTATTTAGATCTTTTGTATGCCCTAAGATATTCAAAGTTGCTTTGATTTGTATTATTTAAAAGATGTATTTCGTGAAAAGGTATTGCGCAACCAATTTGGTGGGAGGAGGTTGTTATTGGAGGCGGAACGGACAAAAATAAGGAGTCGGGGCCGTCTATTCCTACTACACACTCTCCTACGCCTCCCACTCAGCGCAGACTAACCAAAAGTTTCAGTGTTGCACCATCTTCAGTTACTAAGGGTACATGCACCGTTCTTTCTTTTTCTTTATCTCTATTTTATCTTTTTATATTACTGTGACGTTTTATTTTTTGCACCGTTTTGGCATGTTTGTGTGTCAACCGAAAGCATAATTGTGCACTGTCTTGAAGCAGTTTTTTTGGTGATTGTGTATTGCTTTATTGACTTCCTAAATATACACATGGTTGACCAAAAGATTTCTTGAAAAAGTGTACTATGCTATTTTTTGTAAAATTCCAACATATAATGTTTTCTTTGTGTTATATATTACTTATTTTTATTTCTAAGATAGCTCCATACCTTGAAGAATTTATTAAATTTTTATAAAAATTGGCACAGTCATCCTAAAGAGAAATATTTTAACACTTTGCTTAAAATTTTAAAATTTGAATACCCTTATGACCTTTAACAGATAATTGTGGAAAGGCTTAATTGGTACATTTTCCTAGAAATCAAAGTCATTTATTAGAATACTAGGGGGTGTTCAAATAAATAAATGCATATTTTGTTTATTTATTTGTATGTTTTATTGAGTTTAGTATTTTTTTTTGGTTTAATTTGTTTGGTCGGTAATTTTTGCATTACTAACTACGATTGTAGGGATACCTAAAACTTCACTAATTGGTCTAACAAGTAGCAGGGGTTCTGCAATTTTGCCAAACACATCTGCTTCTAGCTCAGGTCCATCATCTGCGTCCAGTTTGTCTTGTAAGTTAAAACGCCTTAAAACCTTAATTTTGTTTTGTATCATAGGGTAGTATTCTCATTTTTTCTGTCTATTATAGACTATTTATTACATAGTGTACAGTTTAATCAGAGGTTTAAAATTATATTTTCTTATTTAGCTTTAACATCGTTAAGTTTCGAATGCAGGAGTACTCTGGCCCCAGAAAGAGCAAAATGTAATAGTATTTTACATTTATTCGGGGAGTGGTTGTTTGAGGCAGCTTTTGTAGGGAGTGATTTACCTCAAAGTAATTTTTTGCAATTTTGAAATTATCCCACCGTTTTTCAATTTACTTATTTAAAGGGCAACTTTCCGAACACAAACAGCGCCCCAATTCTATTGTAATGGATGGTAAAGGCTCAATAAGTCTTTCACAACCAGATACATTAAACTCTTTGGCGGATCTCCCTTCATATTTGAGTATAGACAAGTACGAAAGTGGTCGTGCAGAGGCCCTGGGTGCTTTATGCCGTATTATTTGCGCAAAAAAGACTGGAGAAGAAATACTACCCGTTTATTTGGCTCGTTTTTATCTGGCTGTTCAACAGGGGTTGAAATTGCAGCCTAATAGAGAGTGTGGAGAGAGCATGGTTGCTATTTTGATGAATTCGTCGGATTTGTTTAGACTGGATTTAGACGGAGTTAGGATCCTGCTACCCGCTTTTATTTCTGCTTTAGAGTTGGTTTTGCCTGACAAAGATCTCACATTGAGTTGCAACGTTTCAAAAGTCGAATTGAGGAAGGCTTCCATCAATATTGTGCTGTCTATAATAATTTTACCTCTACATTTTCAAAATGTCAACATAAAGGAATTAATCAATCAAGGGTACGTTTATAACTAATATAATAAATAAATTGCTTTCTTATGTTTGAAAATTTATAAATAAACTCTACTATTGTTTTGGCATACGATGCCTTTATCAAGAGTACAAATATTATAGATAGTATAATCGAAATTATAGGTACTATAATATCTGTACTATAAATATGATTTTTGTAAGAAAACACCACTATGTTTCAATGATGTTTTTTTAACAAAAATTGTTGTTGGTCATTCCTATTGCAGTTCGGAAAAGAATGTAACTTTCGCGCAATTGAAGCCAAGAATAATGAATCTTGTAATGAATGCATTACAAGTAGAGAATGACTCTACAAATACGCATATGTTGCTTGGAGGTCTCTTTCTGTGCGTCCAGGACTCTGCAGCGTTTGAAAGTGTTGAACAGGTCACTCAACCGTCCACAGACACCTCCTCTAATCTGTTAAGTTCAGGTAATCTTTTTTACATACTTTGCTTCAAATTGTATTTTATTTCGGGTTAGAAAGGCTTTTGTTAACAATTTTTTGTCTGTCGTTATTATTTTATATCTATCCTTTCACTATCTCTCTCACATTGCTTGCCATTTGCTCTGTATTTTTGCATCTTATAGAAAAAAAAATACGAAATGAAGAAAGAATTTGATAGTTCTTGTCATGATGAATGTCCTGTTTTTTGCGATGCTCCCTTTTAAACTTTAAATAAAGTTAAACAATAATTGTTCTAACTGAAAGTATTTATGGGAAATTAAATTTTTAATTTATATAAAAATGTGTTAGTTAGGCTTAGACTAAGAACTATTTTTTTTTAAAAATTACTTGAGTCTTAAATTTTTTTTCTTTCGTTTAATAGGATTTGTATACATAATTGTAATTAAAAGCAAACACTTATAAGGAAAACTATACCTACCCTTATTTATTAATATTTTTAAGTAAGAAGTAATGAAAACAATTTTATTGCTACATGTTTATTTCATTTTTTCCATATAAAATTATGATAATATTTTGGGTACACATTTTATTACTGGTTTAGTTGAAACATTGCTTTCCACGTAACACTTTTTTTTGTTTAAATATATTGTAATTTGGTGCGCCTCATTGCATCTTCAATATATACTTAGTAGCATCTGATACTGCAAGCATGGCTAGTGGCTTCGATTATTCTCAAGGATCATTGTCTATGGATCAAACATCGTCCGAATTGCCTGATATGGTCCATGCGTGTGGTACGTAGATTTGTTCTTTATTCCCACACTTATATTTTTATTATTTAATTTCATTTACCCCAATTCACTATGCCTCATTTTTTGTATATTATTCATTGTGTACGTGAGCTTCTTTTATCATGTTTTGTGCAAGTATTACAGTTAAAATTACTAGATTAACATCTTTTATGATATGCTATTTTTAACTTTAAATAAAAATAAAACAGCTAAAAGTTATACAGTACATAGGTATGGATACGTTAAAGTAATCAAGTTTGTATTCATTTTTGTTCTTCCTTTACCTTAACAGTTATCCATCTGTGAAACCAATAAGTTACTTATTTTAGATTCGGCACATGCGCTTTTCGTAAGGGCTACTTATTTAGTGTGTCATCGATTAATTTCCTCGTGGAAGACTGATTTAAGCGTCTCATTAGCGGCTTTAGAGCTGTTGTCAGGATTAGCTAGAATACATATTAAAGAATCAGGTAAATATTTTTTCTGTTGTCTGAATCTTATTCTCTATTAATGGGTAACACCAGATTTTATGATTCATATTTGTAAACTAGTAAAAAAAAGGTAAAAATTTAAATGTAAACAATAACTAACAGCTAGGTCACTTAATTAGTTTTCTTTATTGCTTTTCTATTTTCCAATATGTTTTCTTTTTTATGCAGCAAGGAAATTAACAGGTACTCTAAACTGTTCTATAATTTTGTATCTACCAAAAAGCAATTTATTACATTTATCTAATAAACTGAAAACTTTTAGACGCATTAGAATGCAAAAGAGCAGTTAAATGGCTTTGTGATTACATCGTTTATCAATGTTCTCGACCTCCTCCTGCTCATTCTAAAGACTTACACTCTACAATAGTTGCTGCTTTCCAGTGCTGTTCAATATGGTTGTTAGAACATCCATATTTACTGAGAGATAAGGACTGTTTGACAACAGTAAGTCTTTTAAAGGGTTTCAGTAATTATTCTTTAATTTGTCTTTCTAGTTAAAAGAAAAAATAAAAAACAGATTCACCCAAATTACCACTACACATTTATTATTACTAACGCGTTTTTCGCTCACTCCTTAATGTGGGCTTTATCAAGACGAGACAGTCTCTTAATCAGTTTAGTCATTTACCGCAGTTTCCAATTTCTACTTTGCCTTTCTAGGTTTTAGAAGTGTGTGAACTTGGTGTATCCGGTTCAAAATCAGTAGGAAAACCGGGAGAAAAAATTAAAATGAAAGAAGATAAAGAACTGAAACCTGCTTCCATGAGAGTGAGAGATGTAGCCGAAAATTTGCTTACAAAAATTTTAGAACAGGTTGGATATTTTCCAAATGAATGTGGCCCCGAATCGATTTCTTCTTTGCTAGATGAAGTAACTTTACTACAACATTGCAATACTTGGTCTGACAATTGCGCTGATCTTTCGTCAGCAGTAGAACGTTTTAGATATTTTGTGACAGAAGGATCTGTAATGCTGGCACTTCTTGAAGAACCTTTGGGAAATGATCAGGTAATTTTATTATTTTATTCAAATATTTCTGCTTGTGAATGTTGAAAATTTTTTATTTTTCTATAGGATCCACAGCCTACAGTGACGTTGTTAATTAGAGGACCATTTGGACGTCACGCATGGACCATGCAGTTGCGGCATTTACCTAGACATCGGTCAGGGACAAAATATCACGCGACTCATCCCGGACGTCCTATCGCCATGCATGATGCTCCAATTCGACCAGAAATCAAACAGAAGTATTTCCCAGAAGGGGTTGACCAGGTTCCCCAATGCAAAATGTAAACAGTATTTTTCTTAAACTTACTGAATGTAATGTAATATGGTTATTTGCAGAGATCAGTCAATTCCTTCATTAGAATCTGTAATGGCCAATGATGAAGTAATAAGCGAAGAGACCAGGAAATTGGAACAATTTTTGAAAAGGCAAACTGTTGCAGAGTCGAATTTAGTTTCGAATCAAGCAAAGGTCCAGCCAGTTGAGTGTACACCACCCCCAATTTGTCACGACTTCCAAACTGCTAGACTATTTTTATCCCATTTTGGCTTTCTATCTTTTGACAATGACCAAGAAGTGAGTAGTGCTTTAAGAAACAACTTTAACATAAAAAAAATTTATTTCTATCACAGGATGAGCAGGGCTCCTATTCTCTCATAGCATTAGATAGCAGTGCGACTGATTTTTGCAAAGATCTGTTAACTTTGGACAAAATAAGTCCAAGAACGTGCGACACAGTACACATTTTTTATGTTAAGTCGGGACAAATGTCCGCACATGATATAGTGGACAATATTACTAGACAAAACGGTGTCTCTGGACCATTTTTAGAATTCATTCATACCCTAGGGTGGCCAGTTGATATAAACAACCATCCAGGTAATAATAAATTCTTTTTAACGTCTTAAATGCAAACTTTTTTTTTATATATCTAATGGTGCCTTTTTAGGATGGACTGGTCATATAAGCACCAGTTGGAAAATCCCTCCACAAAATATAGAAAATAAAGTACCTGCCAATCAGTCAAATTCCTTGTACGACGGTCAGAAACAGGTGCTGTACTGGGCTGATGCTTGCTCGGAGGTCGCATTTGTGGTACCCTCAAATAACACAACAAAAGCCTCCGAGAATCAACAGCCCGAAAACGTGTTGTTTAACACCAGCAGTCTTTCTTGTAAGTAATACTTTTTCTGTGTACTATTACATCCCTTTTTTGTTAATTGAATTCAGGGTAAAGTATTTTTTTTTTATGTTACCCAACAGCTTGGTACGAAAGAAGCGTTTCTGATGGTGGCACCGCCAGAGATAAGCGAGCTTTATCACTAGATTTTGATAAGCAACCAGTACCTCCCAGAAGATCCGGAAATAGACATAGCACCCACGCATATACCACCACCAAAGTGATTGTTGCATGGTTAGAAAGCTTCGAAGATCAATTAACTTTACCTATTAGTAAGTCCCTAACAATAAAGCATAGTAATAATATTTTACAACATTTACACATAACTAGATGATCTTCTAAATTATATGGACACAGGACTAGATGCTAATCCTCCTAGGGTTAGTGATGTATTAGTGATAGGATTACATTGGTTGGCATCCGGAATGCTAAGGGTACATCTTAGGGGAAATATGGGAAGAGTAGGTTTGGCTTCTCCTCTTATAGATGGTATGGTGGTGAGCAGGAGAGCCTTGGGATCACTCGTAAGACAAACTGCACTAAATATGGCAAAGAGGAGAAGACTGGATTATGATGTGTAAGTAAAAGATATTACTATTACATTTTTTAGTTTGTAACATGTTTCATTTATGTTTATTTGAACATTTATTCTCAAAATATACTCCAAGTTGGACTGATTTCACAATAAAAAGGGCATATTTATGAAATTCGTTAATTAACTGTCTATTAAATGGATCTTGATAAAAATACTTGTAGATGTTACACATATCTATTAAACCTCTGTAATAAATAATATAATACATAATATAACTGAAGCACAAAGGGAAAAAAATAGATTGAGACAAATGTCTTTTTTGTGCAAATAACGATTTATGTTCTAATTAAAAAATTTTATTTCAGTTATCAGCCACCTCACGTTAAAAGGAGACTTAAAATTCAAGAAATGGTTCAAAAATATAAACGAGAAATGACTCCCCCAGAATTATTTACATATTTATTTAGCAATCCCTAAATGTTTAGCTATTTTTTTAAATTAGATCAGTAAACTATGAAGTGATAAACAGTTAAGTATTATTTAATTTGTACGTTACGTACGTAACTTATATTATTTTGTTAATGGATATGTCAATAAAAATATTTATACGTTATTTTCTTTTAATGCACTTAATTATTTTAAAATAACTTACCTTATTTTCATACCAGAAAGCATAAAAACAATATTGCTTTGTTTTCCTGATTACTTTTTAAATGCAATTTGTAAGTCAGTAATTAAGTGTAAAACAATTTTCGTTTTGTGCATTTACATACAAAATTAAAGATAACGTAAAGGGATATAAGAAATCACACAATAGTAAGTTTAAAAACAATATATATTAATATTTAATGTAACTTTCTGTAGCACACATTTCAATATGTAAAATATACGTACACTCTAATTTTACACTATCCAGCACTTTCGAACTTGACCGTATTCCACATTAAAGCAAAAGCTCCAACAATTATTGCAACGAATAATAGTTATTAATAATTAATAATAATAATAATAGAGACAAAAACTCATCCATCAACTTTTTAAAATAAAATTCTACTCTAAGAAAAGAAAGAACGATACGAAAAACAAGAATAATAGTAATCAATGGGACACTTTTTCATTTGAACTTCACTTATACATATGACACAGAAAAAAAAAATAAAAACAATAAAGAAAAGAAAATTATTAACTAACGAACACAACAAGCGCTATAATGATGACAATGATGATATTAAGGAAATATTACATTTATTAATTTATAATTTTTTTTTTTCGAATAGTAAACAATTTTGTGCTTAATGTATTTTCTTTTGTTTTTCATAGTTATCAATAAATAAGTATTGGTTAGTTAATTACAAGTTTTAAATATATTATTTTGGATTTTCGACAATATTATAATAATTAATCAATCGTTTTATTTTTACACTTAAATACTTTTTAATCTACAAAGTGTTCTGGTGCCGCTATATACTATAACTATTCTTCTACAAAAAAAAAGTATAACAAAAAAACTGGTGTTACAATAGAATAATGACAATAGTTTAATTTTTTGCGTTTAGTTGATAATAATAATGATGACGTGTACGCTAGGCAGGTATAAAAAAGAATACAAAAAAGGAGACACAAGGAAAGAACATCAAAAAGGCCTTAAACGCTAAATAAATGCTTGACAAAACTCAAGCTCGGCGCTTCTAAACCTATTAAGGAACCGAGGGAAGGTCTGAAATAGGAAAAAAAAACTAATTAATGAAACACTATAAACAAGAAATGCTTTAAAAAATTAATTTATTTTAATTTTTACTACGAAATAGTAAGGACTATTTAATAAATAACAGCCCGTATAGTGAAATAAAACTTAACAATTCCAAAATTTAAGGAACAACAGATTAACGTGCGCTTTACTTACAAGATTTTTTAATTGTAATAGTTCGGGAGCTATACGCATGACGTTTTTGTAATAAATTTTAAGTCACTTGCAGTTCAGCGCATGCCTTCTGGTAAAAGTGCATACGATTAATAAGTTAAATTCGTTTATCTATTAATGCAGCAAATTCAGTTTGTATTAAATGTTAAGAAACAATTAGAGGACTTTCATATTTTAAAAGTTGAGAATCTACAAGCGCGCGTTGCTGTTAACTTCTTAAGTATTTTTGCGGTTTAGCGCTTATTGTATCTGTTAAAGGTGCTTAAACATTAAAACCTTGCGGTGCATCTTTCTTACCCTTTTTATGTTTTCTTGAGTGTGAAAAAGCTGCGACGTTTCGAGTCTTCTTTTTGCGCAGAAGCAGGCAAAGTTTGCGAACGCGACGGGCCTGAGGAGTCACTGTCCGCATGCGCGTTGATGCGGGAGATCCAATTGTTCATGTCGCTATCGTCGTGGGCTTGGAACAAAAATTCCGCTCCACTTTCCAACCTTAAATTTGATTATATTACATGCAAAAGTACCACATAGTTTTGTGAACATACTTGAGCCTAAAGACATGTTTCTTTTTCTTGTAATCACTGGCAATGGAAGCGTTAGCTTTGTGAAGAGATAAGGGCATTTCGCCCTTGTAGGTCTGATCAGGGGCGCTCTTAGCCGTTTTAGAATCTTTATAGAATGCAAGTTGCATTCCACGAAGAACGGTATACACTTTGTCCCACGATCTGTTACTAGCTTTCGTTGTTGTATTTTCCCATTCATGTTTTCTAGTTAAAATACCTTCCAGGCCACTTTCTTCGTCTTGAGGGCTAGTACGTTCTGTATAAAACGATAGAAATTAAAAATAATTTATTCTCTACAAAAAATGTGATTAAATTGACTTTTTATTTTAAAAAAATTAAGTTAAAATGAAAAGCCAACTTTCTTATACGTTTTAGAAACGTTAAGAATCGAAAACAGAACATATATAACATAATTTTAGTAAATGCAGTAATTTAGTAATTTTAGTACCCCCCAATCCCAAAGCGTTATTTTGAAAATAAATGGGGATTAATTAAGATTAATTGAAAGTAAATGTGAAGTTGCTAAAAACCTGGCTTTTTTACAAAATCCTGCAATTCTTTTAGCCTGATACCTAGTAAATGTCGTGTCGGTTCTAATCTACAGAAGTTGCTATTTAAGTTTTACGTTATACTCGTATTTGCAAATTCAAAGCAAATTTAAACTAAATATGTATTTAATAATAAATAATTCGATAACAAATTATACATACAATATACTGCTTGATTAATACATACGGTTTTAATAATTATTTTTACCCAACACCAACACAAGGATACTGAAAAGAAAAGTTACAAAAGTACACCAAAAGGTCTTTAAGAGCACGAAAGAAAACTTTGAGGCATTAATAACAAAAGGAGAACAGCAAGTTGTGCGAAATACAGCATTTGAGGCCTGACCATCATTCAGACACACGTAAATAAACAATATCTTTTAATCTAATTTAATGTATGTCTAAGGGGTGGTCATTACTTTCTTAAGCCTCGTGTAGTAAGATGCGCAGATTTGTCCTATCAAGACATAAGAGTGCAAGAAGGAAGCCCATCATCACTTAATACCTGAATGGGCTGCTGCTTCATCATCACTAGCGGCCCCAGAGGCCTTCGGGCTCTTTTTCCAACGAAAACTGCGGAATGGAGATTTCGAACGAGACCTGTCCTTACGCTTGCCACTATCTTTCTCGCTTCGGGGCGCTTAAGAAAAGCACAAATGAAGCAAAAAAAAAACAACACAGCGCATCATGCCGAAATATGTAATCATTTTAATCATAAAACAAACGTCAAAATTTTATAATAACATAAAAAGGATTTCTATCAATTCCCACATAATATCCTTCACCTTGAACTACTTATTTTGCTTGGATACTATTAAATATAGCATGTACTTATATCCATAAAAAAACACCGTACAACTTTTAAAACTTTTCATAATGTGCAACAATTAATATCAGTGCTATACTTACTAGATAGGATTGAACGAGGGGGTGTAGTCACCTGAGGGGTGGCAGGGGGTGCGGTTTCCCTTCTCCTGGGCTCGGGTTTGGTTACAGGAGACCTTATCTCAACTTCCTCATCATGCACAACTAAACAGGCCATGCAATTTTTTTAACATGCAAATTATTAACTAACCATTAAGTACCGTTATCATATTCAACAAATAAAATCATGCAATTGGTTTAGACCACTCCATCTATTGATACGTTCCACAGCAAATTCGGTGTGTGATATAAACCAATTTATGCACATATACATCTTTGCATTTAATTTTTATTGCAGCTGTACATCTATCTCCAAATAATTTTACTTAGCATCAGCGTCATGCATAAAGGCACATAAAACATGAATAATATTAACGATAGCTATTTTAACTAACCTTCAACCAATCCCCAACAGACTAAACTAATAAATATTTATTGACAGCTAACGCTAAAATGGACATTTCGAAGACCGTAAAACTCGCCAAACGATTCAATTGAAATCAACAACATAACTTTTTACAATTACACATAAAGTTAGATTACGATATGTCTATTCACCGTGTAAAAAAACAGAAAAAACTCCACATTTGTTTTTACATATTCGTTACCTTCACCTGGAGAAGTAACAGCTTTCATAGAACCCCTGTGTCCAACTGAAGCTGCATGTAATGAATTATTTTGCCACACATTAGTGATTGATTGCAAAACAAAATATACAATAATTGTATAAACTGAATAACCAATAAATTGTCTTTAAAATATGGGATTAAGATCCGATCAACAAAACTATCAATATATTTACCTGGTCGGTCTTCGGCGGCAGGTGTAGTTGAAGAGTCAGGTCTGTCACCCGATTGTGCTGCAGCGGGAGATGCAGGTTGAGCAGCCGCCAACGCAGCTTGTCTTTCTGCTTCCTCCCTCTCTTTTCTGGCTCTTTCTTCAGCTTCAGCTGCTTCTTGTCTGCGCTTTATTTCTCTAAGCTCAAACTGCAATACAAGTGAAAATCAAAATTCGTATTGTCGATATAAAAATTGTTATTTTTTTTACCGTTGTCAGCCTCTCTAAAGCTCCAAAGCGCTCTTCTTGAGCAGCAGCTGATTTCTCAAATGCTTCGTGTTTCTTTATCAAATTTTCAACATCGTCAATACTGTGTCCTAGTTCAGTGCTCATAAGATAGGGCTCTTGAGCAATCAGCCACGCTTCTGCGACTGCTGCATCCCTAGCAAACTGATACACTTCTAGAATTAACTGGAGATTTTCCCATCTGCAAAGACACTGGTATAGATACGAAGCCTATCGTCCCTTAGTTCAAAACTTACCTCTCCTCCCATCGTTGAAGCAGGGAATTACGGTGATTATTCAACGCTAAGAGTTTATCTCGTATTTCAGTGCTTGCATAATGGTTTCTTGCAAGAAGTTCTTTTCCTAATGATACGCAGGCCGAGAAATTGTCTTCTCTAGCGTCGATTTCAGCTTTCAAGCTTTGATGATTATTCATTAGTAGTTCGACTCCGCTTACATCCCTTGGTTTTTCACTGGTATTCATTTGTCTTACGCAGTCGTCTATCCATTGCATGAGGGCTCGAACCATGTTGAAGAATTTGAAGAGATCCCCCGTGTCTGCCAATTTATGTCTTCTTTGGTCGCACAGTTGTTGTAGATGCGACCACGCTAAAACCACTTCAGCTTCGCGATTGGTTATCTCCCGGACCCTATCACCGGCGTAGGAAGCTTGTAATTTAGCAGATTCTTCCTGGATTTGTTGAACTTGTGAATGGAGCGTTTGTAGATCTTGCATGAATGTTTGATGCTTACGTTGAAGAGCAGAAACGGATCCAGCATCACGTCCAAGTTCATCGGACATTGCCACTTGTTTTTCAAGAATTCTTCCCAAAACGTCCTTGCAATCGTGGAAGAACTTGTGCAACTCCCTAGATGCCGCAAGCATTTGCGTTCGTGTTTCAATAAGTTCCAAAAGGTCTTGCCATGCTTCGTTAAGGCCGTCTTTCCATTCTGCAATCGTAGCCGAATCAGAATGTCCGGCTGATATTAACTGATCTGCGCAATCATTTACTGCTTGGACTCTTTCTGTGCCAATAGCTTCTGTATCTCGTGCAAATTCCTTGAATCTTTCCCATAATAAAGTCACATGGTCGTAATCTTGGCCAAGTTCATGAGAAGACGCGACTACTTCTCTGTCTGCTATCCACTGTTCAAGATCACCGACGTCTCGGTTGAGAAGGAACAATTGCAAGGCCTCGTCTAATTTAGCTCTCCTTTCCTGAGCGAGGTCTTTAAGACCTGCGTAGAGTTTGTCCAATTGTGATTGTTTGATAGCAACTTGTTCGGCCATCGGATGCCCTTCTGCAGCTAAGGCGCGTACCGTTTCACCTAAAGTTCTTATTGTGTCTGCATAGTCTTCAACAGCTCCTTCCAAACTTTCGTGCTTCTTCATAAGGTTTCTGGCAGATGTTTCGTCTTTGCCTCTGTCCTCTACCATCATGTATAATTCTTGCTCGCTCATCCAGCTTTCCGCTTCACTTGCATCGAACATGTACTGCTGGGCTCGTTCGTTTCGTAACAAGTTCTCACGTCTATCTTCCATTGCATCTTTGAGGTCCTGCCATGCTTTGAGAAGTTCGTTAATGAGCCTTCCGAATTCGGAGGAATCTTCGTGACCTTCGTCAATCAGTTTTTGACCGTTATTGCACACCGAGTTGATTCTAGGCTCGTGATTATCGATTTCTGTACGGAGCGATTGGTGCTTCTTTTTTAGCATGTGAACTTGGAAAAGGCTGTTCCCATAATCGGTAGACGTAGCCAGAGGCATTTTCTCTGAAATCCATAAAAGTTCGTCTTCGACGTCTCGCCTGAACTGGAACGCTTCTTTCTTCTTTTCGAGTTGTCTTTGACGTTCCAAAAGTGGTTGTTTGAGTTGTTGGAATCTTTGCTCGACTTGACTCTTTTTACTTTTAATTTCATGCATATCCTTTTGAGGGACCTTTCGTTGCAAGTGGGCAGTTTGTGATTCTAACTCGTCTACTTGTTTAGCCTTTACTGCCATCTGAGTTTCGATCATTTGTTGCTTTTGCATGAGGATATTGACCGATGCCAAATCTGATCCGGTGTCATCGCTTTCGATCTGTTTCTCTAAATCATTCATCCATGAATCGATATCGTCGCAGGTCTGATGTATAAGAACTTCCCTGTTTGCATCGAATAATCGTTCACCCTTTTCGTGAGTCGTTTTTTCGAGGTCGTCAAATTGTTCGGCTAATTCGGATAGTTTCGGTCGTATTTCTTCAGCATATTCGGGTTTCTCGCGCGCCAATTCTTCCCCAGCTTTTTGTAGATTGTGAAGGCGTTCTTTGTTAGCGGCAATTTCGGCTTCGAATGCCTGGTGCCTGGTCCATTTGCTATGTACCGTTTTGGCAGAACGGTATGTCTCGTCTTGTGCGACAATGTGCTTCTCTTGGACCCATTCTCCCAATTCGTCGCAGTCGCGCAAGAACTGTTGGAGTTCTAATTGGTCCCTGAGTCTTTCCATAAGGGCTAACGCCTTTTCTCTATTAGCTGCACGTCGTTCTTCGATAACATCCGCTCGTTTGGCGATTTTATCGGACGCAAAGTGCCCTTCTTCGCAGAGACGACGAGAGAATTGAATGACGCCGTTAATTTTGTCGTCATTTGCTTCCATTGTTGTTAAGAACGCCTCGTGTCGTTTAAGTAGATTTTCAGCTTGTTCTAGGTTAATCGGTGTTTCATCCTTGCCCAAAGCATGCTCCTGTTGGCTCAAGATCACTTCTGCTTGCCGTGCATCCCTATTCAACAATTGCAGAGACAACGACTGAGAAAGTAATTGTTGGCGGTTTTCCCACATCTGCTGTAATTCAGCCCATCCGTCTTGTAGGGCCTTTAGCCTTTCTCGCAAGAACATATACTGAGGATCGTCTTGAGTACTTGGTTCAGCTGTTACCTTTTCGCCGTATTCCATCATCTTGGTATAATCTTCGGTGTAATTGTCGATTTCTTCGCGTATGCTCTGGTGTTGAGATAATAATTTTTCCGCTTCGGCGAGTGATGCTGGTGTGTCTTCCGATGCAACATCTGTTTGTGTTTTTGTCAACCAAGCCTGGAAGTGGTCCAAGTCGCGAAGGAATCGGTGAATGTCACCGGCTTCTTCCAATTTGGCGTCTCTCTCTTTCAACATTTGCGTCAGCTGTTCCCAAACTATTTGAATTTGAATGATGCGTTCTCTGATAACTGCAGCTTCTTCTGGGTGCTCGTTTTCGATTGCAGCTGCCTCCTTGTCTAGGGCTGTTAATTTGGCTTGTATAGCTGCCAGGTCTCTTTCCATTCCAGAAAGACGTCTCTGAAGAGTCATAATACCCGTGAGATCCATTTCCAAACTGTCTGTGCTTTGCAAAATTCTCTTTTTGTCTTCGATCCACGATACGGTTTCGCGACATTCAATGTGGAAAGTTTGCACGCCATGGGACGAATTAAGCTCTTCGCGTTTGTTTTCGGCTTTCTCGCGAAGTTCTGCCCATTTTTCGTTGAGCTGATTTTGTTTAGCGATGACCTCTTTGGAATTTGGATGTTCTACGTGCAATAGCTGCCTGGCAAGTTGATTGACAACGGCCACGCGTGAAGCATTTGCGTTCATTTCTTTCTCGAATCCGTCGTAACGGTGTTTCATAATTTCGACATCTTCTATATCCTTTGCTGGTACCATGGTCTGTAACATGCGATCTTTTTCGCTGATCCATTGCTCAACTCCTTCGCTTTCGGAGAACAATTTGTAGAGTGATAAGGCGTCAAGTAGTCTCTGTTTACGGAGTTTTGCCAATTCCAGAAGTTCTTTGTATCTGTTATCGATTGAAGTCAATCTTTCTGTAACTTCTGGAGACTGGGCATCTTTTGGATTCAGCTGTTGGGCTTGCTGATGAAGAGCGTCGATTGTAGTAGCGTAATTCTTAAGCTCATCCGTTACATCTTTATGCTTCTTGAGTAACGATTGTACGTTGGCCTCGTCGCGACCGACGTCTTCACTGGAAACCAATCGAAGAGTATCTAACATCCAAATATCAACATCATCGGCGTCAGCGAAGAACTGATGGTAATCTACTGCCTCTTCCAATCGTTTTCTGCGGAAAGCAGCAAGATCCAGTAGGTTATTCCACATTGCCAGAATTTCTCGAAGACGTTCTTGTACTCGTTCAGCACCAAAGTGACCGGAATTGACCAGTTCATCGCCTACAGCGACTACTGCCATTAACTGGGGTTCGTGAGCTTGGATTTCGTTTTCTAGTGCTTTGTGTTTCGACAAAAGTAAATTCACGGTTGTTAGATCGTGACCAATATCTGAGGTAGAAACAATCTGTTCTTTCTCTTTAATCCAGTTGTCTTCATCGGCCATGTCCCAGTAGAACTGCCACAACTTTCTACTTTCTTCCAATCTGGAACGTCTTTCTACAGCCAGATGAACCAATTCCGCATATGCATTTTCAAGTTGTTGCACTCTTTCGACTACAAGACCCGGGTCGCAAGGATGATACCCTTCGGATTCTGGGGCAGCATCCAAGAATTTCTGTGACTGTTGTGCTACCGCTTTGACCCTCTCGCCAAGTATATTAATATCGGCTTCGAGAAGGTTGTGTTTTTGCAAAAGATCTTCGACGCCCATCAAATGTTTTCCGTAATCGTCGGTCAAAAGACGTACTTTGAGTTCTTCCATTGAGTCTAAGATATGAAGCATTTCTTGGAAGCATTGCTGTAATTGAAGTGATAGCTCGAGTCTGTATCGACGCGCCCTGAGGAGTTCCAACAAGTAATTCCAAAGTCTGAGGACGTTGTCCTTGCGAGCATTAATACGATCTATGTCATGGTAACGTTCAGTTTGAAGTTCTTCAGCTACGGCTACCACTGCTTGTACTCTTTCTTCGTAAGCTAAAATGTCGGTTTCTATAGCCTCATGTTTTTTCGCAGCAGCTTCTACGGCTGCCAAGTCATGACCAAAGTTATCTTGAGATACCAGTCGTTGATTCTCGCTGAGCCATGTCTCTCTCATGCCCGCTTTTCTGTTAAATCGTGCCGCTAACTGTTCTAATTTTTCTTGTCTAATCAATTCTTCACGCAGTGCTAACTCACGTTCGTGTTCGGCTTTCTCAAGACGTTCCCAAGCCTTATTGATATCCGATATCATTTTACCTTCTTTAGGTGTGTACGGTTTTTGATTATTTGCTCTCATCTTTGATTGTAAGGTGAATAACAGAATTTCCAAGTTACCTTTTTCGACAAACTTGGGAGGTTTTTCGACCGTTCTATAATTATTAAATTGTCCCAGTTGTTGTTGAACGCCTACTAAAGAATTAGCAAAATTTCTATCTCCTAAAGCGACTATAGTGGCCTCGATCCAAGCCAAAAGATCACTAGTTAACGATTCATATTCGCGGATCATGCGATCGTTATCCATCGCTATTCCTACAACTTTTCCGATACGTTTTCCTTGAACCGTTTCTTGTTTCATCTTATTGAAATAGTGGTAGTAAGTGACTACGTATGTAATGATAGATTTTTCATCTGGTTGGTCGACAAAGACATCCTCCGCATCTAGGAGTTTTGTCAGACCCAGTTTATCTTCGGCCACGTTAAATGCATTATTAAGATTGTAAATGGGATTCGATTTGGATAATTTCTCGTAGTTAATGAGATCCGGGCGATGCTTGTGAATGATAGCGTTAAACGCTAGACCATCTCGCCAAGAAGTGGTGAAATTACGTACGTTGACATTATGGTAACCAGCGGTTTTCATCTGGCACCAGAGAAGCAGTGCGTCCTTGGCCGATTTTGTTTCTTGGTTGTCAGTTTCTTCGATCGTGATGTCCTGGATTTGGAAGCGCAAAATAATGGTCCAAATAAGACCAAGCGATAAACGTGGATTGCCGTCTACTATATCGTGCGAACCCATATTCTCAAGGTGCACCCTTTGTTCCCTAAGGAACTGCAGGGCTTTGTCTACATTTTCAAGGCAGTGAATGCGCATCTTGCCCTTAGTGGGGCGGGGCAGTCGTTCGCCGCTAAGGACTTCTAGAAGCTTTATTAAGTTTTTGCCGTCACGCATGTCAATGTATAAATCGCTTATGCGCGTATTGACGCGCACCAAATGGGAATTCACCCATTTTTGGAATGTCTTCTTTTGAACACTCTCCCTTTCATCTGCGCGAAAAATATAAGACACAGGTTGAATAATACGAGTCAAAAACTGAACACCTTCGGGGAAAAAAAATAAAGCCACCTACCTGCTAAAGCTTTTATTCGAGATCTTTCAAAAAGACGGGAAGACGAATTACCCCCGTCATATTCGTAGTCTTCCACAATTTCCTGCTGAAGAGTGGGGTCCCATCTGACAATGGAGATATCGGTCGTCATGATTAAAACCGCTGCCTAGCAGCAGATTAATCGTCTGAAACGAATAATATACTGCGATAGTATATTCATATGATCAGCCAAGAGAATTGAACGGTTTGTACCATTATAGAAAAAAGAAAATAACCACAACCGAATACATCAGAAGTTTGGATATTAGTAAGATACTTTTTAGTATGCCATGCTCACGATAAGGAAATGATGAATACGTTTCAATTTTAACAGCACAACTGTAGATAACACTAGTTGAAGTGAACCAATGTCGATGATCAATAGCGAATATCATTGATTAAAGCATTAAATTGAAAATATAACCAGCGGGGCCCACAGATTACGCGGAAAGAAGAAATTTAAATTTATTTGGATGATGTAATACGAATTACAAACGGATCTGAAGCTATATAATGCATGGCTGTCGTTTTTTTATAAACAAATTATATGTACAATGTTACGCTTAAAACGAACATGACGTAGTTTATAAAGTTTAAATACAGTTGAAAAACAGTATAGGTACTGTTGTGAGTATTATTGGACTGTATTGACTGGATTTTCGATTTTGGTTTATACTTTTTTCTGTACATACTTTCGCTTTTACACTAAATAATATTATGAAAGCCCACTTAACTGATTAAAATGGCGATATGTAGGGCAAAATTTATCTTTCTTGACGTAAGCATAAAACGAATAGGAAATGATGAATGTCCAGAACTTAGCCTCAATATTTTTGAAAACATCAAAATTGGAGTAACCTATTCTTACTTAACTATATTAAATCTACTCATTTAACATGTACCTAACAAAAATTTTATGAAAATAAAGCGCACCATGCGTATCGATTAAAATATAAAATTATAATAATGAGAAAAAAAAATTCTCAATGACCTTAACATGACGATTATAACGATCGAAACTTGGCACAGGATCTGGATAAAATCTTTCATCAAGTGTAGGTTTGTGGGAGTTCGAAGTAAATTTAGAAATAAATATATACAGCAACATCACGTATGATAACCAAAACTGAAAGCTATTTTAAAATACACAGAAAATGTAGAGAAAGTTAGAATATTTAAGAGGATGTTTTTAATAAATGCGAAGCCTTTTAAAAATTATGTTCGTGCCAGGAAAACAAAAAAAAAAAGGCGATACATAGCAAACCGGAGCGAACCATTGAAATTTAATACCATACGAATCAGATCTAAATCGAGTACAGGCTTCACACCGATAAAACGGAATTTATTGACTTAAAAAGGCTCCGGGTAATGACCTGAAACGGTGGTGATATCAGTACAATTTACAAACTTATTATTATTCTGATGTGGGTGTGGATAATGTGTACAATTACGATAAAAGGTACACAGGAAAAACAGAAAGCTTTCAACTCTTAACAAAAATTTTTAAGATAAGAACCGTGAATTTACCTTTAGACCACATCAGCTAACAAACTATTTATGGATATTGTTCTTTTGAAAACGTAGTCTCAGTTTAGAAGAAAATGGAAATTGGACATTTAGTAATAATTAATGACAATAAATTTTCTTCGGCAGCAACCGTTGATGTAGCAAATTCCATAACTCACGGTGACTACACTTTGAGAAATGTGATGACCCTTGACTTAAAATAAAGTCACAGTTTATTTATTTCATTGCCGATAAACTTGGGGACTTAATTGACACATAAAAGGAAATGGAGATGCGTCTGATACTAAATTTAAACCACTAATCACATCATGAAAATCATATCAATGCATAGTACGATAATGATCAGAGGACATCACTGTGACTGTACCTACTGCCTACGTTCCCTGAAGATGCCAAACACAGTAATTGGCGAAACGTAAATCTGTGTTCTCACAGTACAAGAAGCAATCCTAAGTCATGAGAATCAAGCACGTATCTTAAGTATTATCCAAAAGAATACAAGCTAAGAGAAAAAACACTCACCCCAGTCACAAATAACTAAAATCTTTGAATACACTTCCGCACTTTATCTTTTTCATTGAATCACCTTCGATAATAACAATTTTCCGAATTCCGGCACGAAAACACGCATTTCTCCGTGCACTCCGGCAAACCGGAGTTGACCTCCGGAGGGAAGTTTGACAAAATCGATTGGCGACCCTCTAGGACGAACGGCGCCTAAGCTGATGACGACACAACCCCGTCCTTATGATCGTTCATTGCGGAACAACGCGCCTGAGGGATTCGATCCTGTCCGGGGTAGGAGGTGGTCGGTGGCGGCGGTGACGGTCGCGACCTAAAAGGGGTGGCCAATTGACGATTCGAGACTCGCCGGAAAGACGACGCGACACATAAACTAACGCGGCTGCGAGTGGTCTCATCCGAAAATTGGGTCAATTTCAATAAGTGGGTGTCCCAACTGCTCATATGTGCGGCTCCTCCGCAAATGTTTACCATGCGCAGACGCACAAAGGTTTCCATTTTATAAAAAAAATACCAGACAAATGCGCCAGGAGTCCCGTATTTTATTAAATGCAGGTAATAATGACCATAAATTCAAATTGACTGAAAAATTTGGAGACGGACAGAAAAAACAAGCAACTCTTTCAACTTGAGAGCACTATGTATGTTTCGAAAATTGCCTTGAAACCCTTGATCCAATGTTTCATTAAGAAAATCTATACTCCCAGACTGGGCCAATTCAGTTGTTTACCAAAGGGAAACAAAATCAGCTGATGATTCAGAGAAAAACAGGTAAAAAAGGGAAAAAATTAAAACTACTCGTTCTACTTCAAATGAAACAATTATTACTATGTGAAGTTTGGGAAATTAATGTGGTAGTTGTGGAAATCCATAATGTTACGTTTTCCCCAGGTGCTTTTTTGTCAATTGCGACAATGTCAAACTTTTTGAAGTCCTCGTTTGCTGACATCAATAGAAAATTTAGGATGTTCTTTTAAAATATTTTCTACCTGAACAAACCATTCTGCATAGTTCGTAAAATCTGCGATTTCATCGAACCCTTATTACAGGAACGTGATAAAGGGGAATTTTTCAACCCTCAAATCAACCACTTTGCAAAACGGGGAGTTGGAGTTCATATATCAACTGTGCTTTCAATGACCACTTAAAATCTCTCACACCAACCTTTTCCGAACATCTTACACCACCATGTATGTTGTACACCTATATCTACCCCAGTGAATTTAGATCTATACGTTGTACAGTGATGATAAATAGTCTAAAATTTTCGCGGAAGAATATCCCTCCGAATCACAAAAAATATTTTACTTGTACTTGCAGAGATTATCTAAAACAAGCAAGCTTTATCTCTTTACAATGTAGACAAATATAGAATACATAATAGAGCAACAGCAATATCGTTTATACATTATAATGATTAAAGAAAATCAACACAAACATAAGAAATTCCTTTATTTATACAAGCATACACGTAAACACCACTTGTCGAATAATAAACAAAACGGTTCATTCATTTCTTTCAACTTAACTCTACCGCCCACATCTGGTGATGTCATTCTACATTAATAGGTTGAACAAGTTGCATATTATGATGATTCCACTACAGACAACAATAATAATTAATATTCACGATACCTTTCTTCTATACTAATAAACAGTATTTCTATTACATAAACATCACCACGAAGGTCGCCTGGTTTGAAATATCGCATACTTCTGCTGTGCACACCGTTGTGCTACATTTTTTTTTTGCTGACTTGTACATTACTAAAGAGGCGTTTAATAAATGCATTTAAAATAAATTGCGCATTTTAGGTACTTATGGTTTTATTATTTTTTAATAGACTATAAAATACATTCTGAAATAAAAGACGTAAGAACAACCTCCTTCCTGTTAGATGAATTGGTTTTGGGCTACTATAATATTGGTGCAATTTTTCACATCTGAATCTTAATCATTTAAACTGATCAGCTCGAGGCTGGACTAACGACAAAATAGATAAAAGTTCCATCTTTCATGGATAAATTATAGTTTTTGAAGTATATTACTACGCTTCTTCTACATCGAGATACATAATGTTTATTGCCAGCTTAATATCAGAATAGCATTTCGTGTATTTTCCAGGAACCACCAGAAGCGACAAATTTTTGGATTTGGTAACAAATCATCGACAAATTATGGTATGTATTTCTCTACGATAGTTCAATTTCAAAATACGCTATGTATTAGTAGCAATTTAGGGGTTCTCCGATCGTCTTTTCGCTGATCGACAAAATGGGTAAAAGTTCCATCTTTTACCGATAAATAAGTCCTTACAGTATTTTTCTATTCCAATTCAATTTCGCGATAGGCTATGTGAAGTTCCACCTTGGCGGTCCTCCAGTAGTTTTTCGCAAGACAACTAGAAGATAGACTAGCGACAAAATAGTGAGAAGCACCATCAATCGGTGACAAATTATAAGTCTTACGGTATTTCTCTGCGTTATTTCTATATCGAGATACGCTTTATGTAGTGCCAGTTTGATATAGCATTTCGTCTATTTTTCAGTATCCATCTGAAGAGACAAATTTTTGCATTTGGTAACAAATTAGCCACAAATTATGGTCCTCACAGTATTTTTATAAGATAATTCTATTTCGAAGTACTCCATGCATTAGTATCAGATTAGCGGTTCTCCACTCGTTTTTCGGCGATCAGCTCGAGGCTGGACCAACGACAAAATGAGTAAAGGATTCATCTTTCACCGATAAATAAGCCTTACAGTACTTTTTTTACGTCATTTCTCCATCGAAATACGCTTAGTAGTCGCACCCTAGAGGCTCTCCAGTCGTTTCTGGCAAAATCAATCTGAAGATACACTAGTGACAAAATAGTTAAAAGTATCATCATTCAGCGACAAATTATAGTTAAGTATATCTCTATGCTATTCCTACATCAGGATACGTAATGTGTATTGTCAGCTTGATATCAGGGTATCAGTTCGTGTATTTTCTAGTAACCACCAGAAGCGACAAATTTTTGAATTTGACAACAAATTAGCGACAAATTATGGTCATCACAGTATTTTTCTAATTCCATTTCGAGATATGTCATGTATTAGTATCAGATTAGCGATTCTCCATTCGTTTTTCGCTGATCAGTTCGAGGCTGGACTAACGACAAAATGAGTAAAGGTTCCATCTTTCGCCGACAAATAAGTCCTTGCAGTATTTTTTACGCCATTTGTATTTCGCGATACGTTGCTTCTATATCGAGATATGGGTTGTGTAGTGCAGCTTAAAGTAGTATTTCGTCTATTTTTCAAACAAATTAGCAACAAATCCAATTGCCTTCAAAACCCATTAAAGCAATAAACATTCATACCGAACTGCTTACTTGATCTACAGAAGTCTTTATTCATTTATTTATTTTTATTACATTATTATACGATATGATCATCGTTGAATACAAGCTACCGTAAGAAACTATGCGTGGGCCAAGCAACTCCAGAGAACTTCCATTCTATGTGGGCGATTTTCTTAAAACTAAAACTAGTCACCGAGCAACAATAACAACAATACACAAATGACCCTTTCAATTCAATTAATCAAAAGGAAGCACTTCAAATACCGCAGTTATTTATAACAACTAACCGTACAGAGTAGGGCGCATTTTATTGTACAGCGCTATTTAATATTTAACAAAACAGAACTTGAGGGTTTATTACAATTGTAGGGATTTCCCAGAGGTACAAATTAATATGAAGTTAGGAATTATTTACTTTTTAGGTTGCCAACGAGCTGAACAAAAATAACAGATAACTTGGGCGGAGAATCCTTCGCAAAATTTTCGCGGTTTAAAAAATTAGTAAGATACCAATTTAAGTTCTCTGTATACATAGAGCAATTAGATTAGATACGTTCACGTTATTTTTTTAAGATAATGTAGGAGTGTAGGTGCATAAGTAAACAGTTAAATTATTAGAGAATATTTAGAACATTCATTTACACAGTGTAGAGTTGTAAAACAAACAAAAAAAAAATGAAAGCAAATTACTTTGGTAGGCCTTTTAGATGTTTTTTTACTACTTTCTGCGAATTTAAAAGTAGACGATCAAAAATGGGACATTCTCGCTTCAAAAAATATATAACACTTTGTTAAAACGTAAAAAAACCATAGAAAATAATGTTTAGGGTTCTGTTTGATACAATAAAACTGAAAACAGGGTGTTTATCTATGATGCTCCACATTTTTTGCTAACGACTGTAGATGGGCGACATTAATAAACACCATAAGGATTACATAACACTCACTCATCTTTTAATATTTATGTAATCTTTAGTGTGATAAAGAGTAATATAAGAGGCAAATATTCAGATGAGTCATGGCCTTTATAGGATCACGAATATTTTTAGATGGAGTTGCTTGTTATACGTGTGTTAAGTGTGAGCATCTGTGTGCATTACTTTGACCATGGATGTTAATTGCTAATGAAGCAGTCGAAAAAGACTGCATGGACGTTTTAAGTGAGAGTTCTTTTCGTATGGGCGAATGAAATTGACCTAATTTAACAGGCAAACTTCATTACAACACACCCATAACATTTGAACGACTAGCATCGCTTCTTCCGTTAGTGACATTAAAAATGCATCGTGGGCAATACAGTTATAATAGATTTTACCTGTAGCCCCATTAAATAAAAAACAATGGTTCCTTCGTTACGTCACGTTGCTGTAATTGTTTTGCTATTGTTAGGTTCAGTGACACTGCTATAGATACAACATAGCACCCTACATTCGAAAAATACACACCTATCAAGGTCAGGCTCACGCCCTTTAAATCGATCTCAGGCGCTTCCATTTATCATAACGTTCGTTTAATTATTTACTCTGCTTTATAAATAGGCAAAACGATAAATATTAATTAACAATAAGGACTAGTTTTTACCGGTAACACACCTATTTGTCGGTCGGCCATTTTTATAGGGCGAAAACAGAACCTGTCAGTTGATTGTTAAATGATTGTTGCACATTTCTCAGCCTACTTGATAATGTCTAGGACTTACCTTATCACTAGGTTTGTCGATTTTTCGTTTCTTTCGTGCTCACTACACTCTAAAACCCACTAACATAAAAATAACAGTCCAACAAACCGAATTTAGGCGGTGTTCTATCTATCTCCATTACTACTATCTCGAATACTCATTACATTTCGCTTCCAATCGCTTCATGGCGACGTAACACGATTCGACGTTGTTGTTACTCGTTTTATTTACTGTTTCACTCTTCTTTCTCTTTTCTCATTTAATTCGTTTGACAGCAAACGCGCCATTATTAATGGTAATCCCCAATTTTTGAATAAAAGAAGGAAGTAAATTAATATATTATTTAAAGCATGGTTTAAGGTAATCGTATCTGGCATGCAAAGCTAAATAAGTACTAAAATTAGTATTTAATTATGCCCTTTATGCTGTTTATAACGACTGTTATATTAATTTTTTAAATTGAAAAATGCCAGACCTCGTAATTTTTGACAGTTATTTTAATTTTAAATTTAGAAGTGTGAAGCCTTCAATTTTTTTTTCAATGCACACTGTCAAGAAATTAATGCAAATNTGCAGTTTATTAGGTTTTTTATTTAACTGATGTGATTAAATACATTTCCTTACATAAACAAATAAAAAAATGTTTGTGTTCGGTTTGCCCGCGTAAATACAAATTTGATCTTAATTTGTAATTTATTTTAAGTTAATTTTAGCTCATGAAATAAGTTCTATGCAAATTTACTTTTTTAATTTTAATGAAAGGTTGCAAAACAATTAAGTCATTTAATTATAATAGTTTGAATTGTTAGGTGGAATAAATAATATGCTCATAAACGTGTACTGGATGATAGCAAACCCTTTAATGAGATAATATACATATTTTTGCAAAGTATTAGGTACAAGGTATTAAGTAAACTAAAAATAAAGATAATAATAATTTTCAAAGATATTGATTGTAAATAAGTAATAATCTAACGATAAATAATAGGCGAATCATCCAATTTTAATTCGTGTAATACAAAGTGCAGCACAGTTAATATTTAATTGGAATAAATTGAACAATTGAATTACAATTTAAACTACACAGCCAATCAACTATCACTGAACCAATCTATCTCTAATCTAAGTTATTATAAAATTGATGTAAAACGCTTTCCAATTGTTTTTAAAACAATACCTTCTCTTTTAATAATAATACATTTAATGTTTCAACAAGACGATTAAGTTTTACAAAGTATTAAGTATTAAAAGCTATTTTGGCAACGGCTTCTCGTCACTGGACTTTCACGTGATTCACACAAATAAAAACAAAATTAAATTTTGTCGGGTATTTTTCACAAAAAGAAAACAATTTTTCTAATTTAGAAAGAAATATAAATCAGGCACAATCAAATGCATAAAAACTATAGAAAACCACACCCTGTAGACCTTATTAGGCTTTGGCTTCCATTTTCTTTTGCACTGCAGAAGATGATGGAAAACTAATAACATTCAGAAACGTTGCAAGTTCCTTTTTGTATTCTATCGGGTGGTTTTGCAAGTGTCCCACGTGAGGGGACTTTTCCCAGCACTTCCAATAAACCTAAGCATAAACAAGAGAATGGAATCATATAACCTGTCTTTTGCGATATTATATACGGTACCTTGGTGCCCATATTTTCCCAACTATCTCTGACCCTTTGGTTGGAATCGACAGCGCCAACGGGGTCACTTTTACTGAGAAGAAACAGTGCTGGAGATCTGACTAAATTCGTATGAAACATTTGGCTGGACCTTATGTAGTGAACCGTAGCCACTTTGTGGAATTTTTTCAAATGGTAACTGGAATATTTATTTTGTATCAATATGGCGGATTCAAAATAGCCACTCAAGTATATGAAAGGGAATTCAAATAGCTACAAGCTGGATAGTATCTATACACTAAATAAAGTAGGAAAGCAAGAATCAAAAATCAACGAAAGACTATCAGCAGTTGCAAAAATATTTGGATTTGGTACCATGAATGGAAAGTTTATTATTAGGAAATAAAAAGATCCAAAATGACAAACACGTTTTGAAATCCAATATGTAGACCGATACTGACGTTTGGTTGGGGATCATGGATACTGTCAGTAAGTCAAAAAGGCAAGTTAAAAAAAATGGAAATTGTATTTCTTAGAGAAGTACAAGATGTCACAAGATTAGACATAATTAGAAACTTTGATATCTGGCAGGAACTGGGCATATGTCCCAGTAGAGTAGAATTAATGAAGAGAAACAAGTAAGGACACTACGAAGAAAGAGAAATAGGTAGTTAAAAAGAATGTAAAATGAAGATCAAGAAAGACATAGACAAAAAACGTTTCGAAAATCTTGGAAAAGAATGGTATATTGCTACACCTGGGGAAGGAATTGGTCCAAGAAAAAAAGGATGGAAAAATTTAATCAGAAGTAGGTATAATATTGAATTAATGTAGGTATAGTAATATATCAAAAGAAGCAAAAGAGACAACGACTGCAATAGATAATTTTGCTTTATACCATTTGGTAGAAAGGCGCTTTTAGTAAAGGTCCCACCAAGGCCCTTTGGTAAAAGCCTTAAAACATCCCTAAATTATATTATTTATACATAATATATTATAAAAAAAGCGGCTTACAGCATGTACTTCCTTAAAGCTGATTGCATGACTGGGTTCCTCGGGAATACTGCAATCGGTAATCCGATATGAATTTCGGTTACATCGGCTGCACTATCCCATACTTGTCCGATAATTCGGTCGAGAACATGTTGGTACCTTTCTGGTTCTCTAGCAATCAGTACCAGCACTTCTCCCCATAAGTAACCCCCTACTGAAAACCCATGAAGCATTAAAGGTGCATAGCTTGGGTTTTTGTCCAAAAATGCCAAAATATCGGCAGCAACAACCTAAAAATTTCCTGTTACAGTATATGTACCAGAGATCTGGTTTATCTTAAGCTACTTTAAATAAGGAAAGCCAAAATATGAAGATTGGAAAAACTTTGGCGGTTGTTGTAGAACAAATAGAATACCGCAAAACCCCAACGCCAAACCACGACACTGTAGTGAACTGACTGAACTGAACTGAACTGAACTGAAGTTCACTTCAGTCCCTGAAGAAGGTAACTTTGTTACCGAAAAGTGCTTCGGACAACTACAGTGTCGTGTTTTGGCGTTGGGGTTTTGAGCTATTCTGTTTGTTCTAAGGAAAGCCAGTTTTGAGATGGATTATTTTGATTCAAAATAATACAAATAAACTCAGGGAATAATACCTTACATATACATGATATTTTTAATTGTTATAAACATATTATTACATTGTTAATTTATTAATGCATTGAAAACAACGGAAAATGAAATCTTAGAACTATATTTACATAAGTGTGCTATAAAAGTAGCTATAACAAAAGAAATGCAACGTTTATCCATTAAGGTTGTCATTAAATGCAAAAATATGCAGTTTATTAGGTTTTTTATTTAACTGATGTGATTAAATACATTTCCTTACATAAACAAATAAAAAAATGTTTGTGTTCGTTCTCCTTTCACTTTGTATTAGAATGGTACCATTTAGTACCTATTTATCATTACTCAAGAATATATGTATCCAATATCTAACTTATTAGAATGATCTGTGTGCTATATTGTAAATTATATTTTAAAGCGATTTACTTAATTACCACAGTGATTAGAAACTTATTTGCACATTCAGATCAGAGCCTTTCCAAAAGGTGTGTACCTAATTAAAATAGGTACCAATATTCAGATTATGAACAATACACAATAATTGATATTTTACATCATACAATACTTAATTTTTAAATGAATTAGGTATAGGAGATAAGAACAGTTTATTGATATAATTTTCTGTTGCATTTCCATAAAAAAGGGAATGCTGATTAATTTTATCAATGTATTCATATTAACTCGTAAATTTTTTCACTGTATCAATCATGTTTTCCACTACCTCAATAAAAGCATTTCATAAATATTAAAACCGATTTAGGGATTCGTATTTAAAAATTAAATCATTTTTGCAATTTATGGAATTATACCTGAGTAATTCCTAAATATATGAACTTCCTATCAAGTACTGGAATGTTGATAATTTCATTAAAATATGAGAGGTCAAACACTCCATTATTGTCTGTAAAATTGTTTATCAGCGTATGTGATAAGACATGAATAAATTGATAAATATTTGAGTCTTCCAATTTGGATTAACAAGAATATAATTTTTGGAAAAGCATTGTACTAACCTGAGTTCCTTTTACTGGCCATAAAAGTTGCCATGGATTAATATTAACGTTCAAAACGTCGCAATTCTGATCCAAATACAGTTTTGCGTATTTCCCGATATGTTTCCTCTTCGCCATCAACCATGACAGCAGAACGACCATGGGTCTTTCTTGTGGCTTCGCTATTTTCATATCCGATATTTTAATATCCTTAGGGTTATCATTGCTAATTAATTCCAAACTTTTCGTTATTTCCACCGAAGAAAAATTTTGGGACCGAACAATACAAGCCATTAAACCCTTTAATGTAGAAATAAGTTTTGCATAAAAAAGAAATGAATTTTTCCAATTACACGAAATGACTAGATTAAAACAATTAGTACTTACATATTTTGGTAATTTAGACGCCAATTTTCGTGACGAATTTCCATTTCGTAAAATAAATAGCATTGTAGTCAACACTCTCATTTTCTTTGTCGATGAAAAAACCGTAAGGGAAAGGAAACCGACCACGCATGAGACAAAAGCGGCACACAAACTGAGCAAAACGATTTATTTAACATACACAATATAAATCTGCAACGTGGACTAGTCCCCCCTACTAATGTAAAAAAAGTATTAATAAATCCTGCAGAGAAAGTTTATTTTTTATTTATAATAAGTGCATCGATGATAATGTACAGTAGGCGGAATCCGTCTGGAATCTTTGAACTTTGTTAGAAATACGAAAAATTTCCGTCAGTTTATGGGCAGACGCAAATATAAATAGGTGGACTTTGGACGTACTTTTTTTATTTAACGCTGTAATGTTCATTATACATACATTACACACGTAGATAAATACATTATCTATGTCTGTGTTCATCCTTTGATGTGTGACTGTAGAACGTGAAACCACAGCGCAGCGCTGAGCAGTCAGCTCAACGTTTCATAGCTCGGAGTTTGAAGCCAATGGAAGAATTGAATTTTGGAAAAAACACTGATTGTAACGATATGCGCTATACTTATTTTACTATTTCCAACTTAAAATTAGAAGTTTTCATTTTTGAAAGGATTATACAAACTCATTCACCACCCATCTCATTACCGTTCGAGATGAGTTTATTTATCCACGAGTCAATTTAAAAGAAGGCCCTATCAAACCTGTTTAGCAACTTTTTAACTTAATCTGGTAGAAACATTAAAATTGTTAGTTATAGTTATATTATTGTATTGTAAAAGAATTTCCCTTTTAATAGTTTTACTCTTCATAATAAATTCAAATTGACGTCACAAAGTTATTAATCCAAGCTTCACTGTATTACAGAAAGGCCTGTTTAATGCGTATTTATTAGAGAAGAGAATTTCCAATGCAATTGAAAAATACGTTTTATGTATTATTGGAGTATAATTAAGTTATTATATCAGCGAATTAACAAGGATAATTAAAGAATCTTTTACATGAAGGATTTGAAACACGTCCTGAAACTCCAAAATCTGATTCCTTCTTTTCTGACGTAACAAATTCAACAATTATGTGACAATGCAAGGTTTTTTGACGTCACAATGCTATATTATGGATTTTGGTTACCATCTCATTTATGTATTTGTGGTTTTTGCCAACATTTTGCCAACTTTATGGTTATGTTGTTATGTTTTAATGTGACAATGATTTTTGTGTGACTGAGTGAAAATTTGGTAAAAAATGGCAAACAACGAGTCAGAACAACAGCAAAGTCCTGTTGAGAATGCATGGGAAATGAAAATACCAGAATTTACACCCAAAGATAATCCACATGGCCTTTTAGAAGAGAGTTCCTTTGCAACTCTTTTTCCACAGTACAGAGAACAATATCTTCGACAAGTTTGGCCTTTAGTTAAAAAGACTCTGCAAGAATATGCAATTTTAGCAGAATTGGATCTTGTTGAAGGTGCAGTAATTAGCCATATGACAAAATAATGTTAAAAATTGTATGTTTAGCAAACAATTTATCTTCTCCTATCTTATAGGTAGCATGACAGTCCGTACTACACGCAAGACTTGGGACCCTTACATTATTATAAAAGCTCGGGATATGATTAAGCTAATGTCGCGAAGTGTTCCTTATGAACAAGCCAAAAGGGTACTAGAAGATGGGGTGGGATCTGATATTATAAAAATAGGAAAAATAACTAGAAATAAAGAGAAATTTGTCAAAAGAAGACAGAGGTTAATAGGTCCTAATGGCTGCACTTTAAAATCAATTGAACTGTTAACTAATTGCTATGTACTTGTACAAGGTAACACAGTTTCTGCCTTAGGACCATACAAAGGTCTTCAACAGGTTCGTAAAATTGTTGAAGACACAATGAAAAATGTTCATCCTGTTTATAATATCAAAGCTCTTATGATTAAGAGGGAGCTTGCAAAAGACCCTAAACTAAAACATGAGAATTGGGAGCGATTTTTACCCAAATTTGTTAATAAAAATGTCAGTCAGAGGAAAAAACCTAAGAACAAGAAAGAAAAGAAGCCTTATACACCTTTGCCACCCCCACAAACAGAGAGCAAGGTACAAAAGAACATAATATTGTTGGTTTCTTAATTACTATTAAAATGATTATTTTCAGCTTGATAAGCAACTGGCTACAGGAGAATATTTCCTCAACAAGGAACAGAAAAGAGCTAAAAAGCGAAAGGAAAAGGAAGAGAAACAAGCAGAGGCTGCTAAGAGGAGGGAAGAAAAGAGAAATGAAGCATTTGCACCACCAGTTGAACCTGAACTATCAAAAATAAAGAGTAAAATTGACACTACAGTTGATTTAGATGCATTAAAATCAAAAATTAAAAAAGCGCAGACGAAAAAAGTATTCCAATCAAAAAAAAATTAATTGCTGGAAGCTAAATAATAAAAATAAATGATTTTTTGTAACCGGATGTTGTTTTTATTGAGATATTGCAATTTTACGATTGTAGTTTACTATTAAATAAAAAGAATTTCCAATTCGCTTTATATACCTTGCGTAAATACAACAATGAAGTTTAGGTTTCGCCATCTTACGACGAGTAGTTTAATGTAGTGATTTATTTCTTACTACTTCGTGTAATCTTTTATGTACCGCTAGATGGAAGCTCTTATCTGATCATTTGAAGTTCTTTTTCTGTTATCAGGCGCTAGATGGCCGAAAGAACCCATATTTTAATAAAAATTATAAGCTATATACAGGGAGTTTTCAGATGGTATTTATAGGGTGATTATCAATTATGGATTTAGATCTGGATCTTTTAAAATTTCTTTTCATTTAGAGAAAGAAATAAATTTTTGTAATAAAACAACAAATCATCATTTACAATGAGTTTATTTTATAAAAGTTCCCAGAACTGAAACGTTTTACTATTTACAACTTTATTTTGTACACTTTCTTTATCAGAACTAAATGGCATACAAAAAGCTGCATTCAGCAACCAGTACTGAATA